AAAATTTGCATTAGAAGCTAACCGCATCATATTTTATGAACATTTCTTTTTTATGTGACATCTAGTCGTGAGGGTTACCTTTGATAAAGCAACGGACAAAACAGAAAGAAAAACGATCAAAACTTTGAAACAACTTTAACAAAAATTAATGCGAATGGTCATATTTTTAAATAAATTTAATCTTTGAAAACGAAGTCATCGTATCTTTTTATAAATATGACTGCAAGAACGAAATGGGTGTGCAAAAGATCAAGGCATTATTTGGCGACCTGGTTTCATTGGGTGATGGAAAATCGATAATTAAAACAGCCATGTTGGCCAATCTCTGCTGCGACACAATTATATGGGTAAGAAAAAACTCAAGGCAAATTATTAGGATAACAAAAAATCGATCATGGAAAAAATTTCAGTACAAAAATAGACAGTCCTACGCTAATTTGCAAGCCACCCAAATCTAACTACTAGAATACTTATATACAATCATTGGATTATCATACAAACTATAGGCAATAATCAAATAATCTTCACCCGACAACATAAAAATCCCATATAGTAGTACTTACATATAATTAAATTTAATGAATGAATACTAAAACTACTGAAAAATTCAGCTAAATATAGAATTGATCTTACGATTAATTTTAAATTAAAATTTCGACAGTACCGTTAATTTCCCGTTCAAAAAAATAAATATTTACAAAACTCATGACTACTGACCATACTCTGTGCAAAACAACATAACCTGTATATTCTAAAGGACCTTGTACAGACCAATTGACTTTTAAATATGCATGATCGTATAACACGTTATGATGTATTTATGCTAAGAGAGGATATATTACTCAATGCGTGACCCACTGTTTCTATTCTTTAAATCATTAAATCGAAATAAAATTCGATTTTTCATAAATGTAACAAGATAACAAGATGTCACAGTCAGTTAATTAAATGAATACATTCATGGCATTATTGCATTCTCGAAACTTTTATAACATTATAACATTATTCAAAAATTTGATTTTTTCAAGATTAGAGAACGTCTAAAATGTATTTCACTATTATCTGTTTCTAATTATATATAATTTATGTTCTAATTATATTTTCTTTTATCTTTTCTTCTAGGCAAACAATCATTTTATACATTTAGAAAATTTAAACAGTTAATTAACACTGTTTTGTGATGGAGGGTTGGAGGTGAGGAGGCACACAAATGATTATTAATTTATCATTTACAAGAAAATGCAAGTATTAAATTGAATAAAATAATATTGTGAGCAAACTGAGTTCGGGTTGAGGAAGTAGCTGTGCGAAGCCAAACGAAGCAACCATCGTCGTTACAGTTCGCCACACGCGGGCGTGTTAAAAAAGTCCTCCTTCTATTTTCTTGTCACGCATCCGCAACGCGCGTGAACGCAGCGCGAGTGGGAGCCATCGAACCTTACGGTTATACTGAATGATGCCGCTCTGTTGAAGAGTCGAAGAAGAAAGTCGTTGTTAAATAAAGACGTACTCAACAAGACTTTGTCACATACAATTCGTTGGCAGAGTTGCATAATATATCATTTCTAAAGTAAAAGGAACAGAGATATTCGAGAAAAATGCACCAACGACATCAATTAAAAACTGGTTTTTGAGTCATGGAATAAATAAAAAGATGCTTACGCTGAACTAAACCTAACGCGCCACTAATGAATGTAGCAGAAAATAAAATACAAAAACAAACCGGAAGACGTCTTCAGATGATATTAAATATTAATAAGTCTATAATTTAATAATTACTATAAAATTTTTATCAAAATACAAATAATGTTACGAAGTAATAATAAAAAATGTATCGAGATGCAGCAAAGGACGAAAAACAATACGCCTAATTTGATCATTGTTTGGTTCACCATTTTGTCGTATCTCATCACTATACATATCATTCACACATTGCTGTTTTCGACCTTCGTTCCGATGAACATTGAAAACGTAGCGGATTTTACGTTTCCTCCCAAATTCTGCATTATATAACTAGGTATGGTACTCTAGCTACGCGTATAGACAATCTCGATTATCAATCTTCTTCATGACTCACGATTTGTCGTACTCGAGCATCAGCGATAAAAATAATTTCATACAAATACTGGCTTATACGGTAGAAAATATCATTCCATCTCTTATTATTATTAAATATTCAAGACACGTATAGGTAGTGTACCGGAGCTCTCAAGGCAATAACAGTCTGCTAAGTAGGCTGAGATGCACATGATGCTATTTAGTAACTTCATTTGATTATGATTGAACAAACTTATAAATTTACTATTGCTCGATACTTACTTTTACGAATAATATTTATAGTACTAGAAAAAAGGGCATAAAACGTTTCTGTCTAGTGTCAACATGTATAAAAAGAGCAAAAGCTAGGACATTCGTCATAATAAAATATTTCAAGTGCCATTTTGCAATCGATATTCTCAAGGATGAAAGTCTTCTTATTAACCAATAAGACTATATTAATCATAACTGTAAATAAATCGTCCATTTTTCATTTCTTTAATTAATCTTGTGTCTCATAATTAAAACGAATTAATTTTAAAAAGTTTAATTCGAGTAAGATGGAAATTCTCAATGTTTCATGAAAATCATGAAAGCTTTAATGTTTCATTAAAGTCCTTAAACAGGAAATATTTAATAAGTTCCTCTTAATTACTACGGGTTTTCTTTACAGTATTCAATAAAGAAATGAAATCTTAAAAAAATTTAAAGCAATATTAAAAAAACAAGCCAGATTTATTTTGAAAACAAAATTTTACACGAATTATCTTCGTAAAATGTTTATTACTATGTTTCAGCGGAAAAGTAGGTTACAGCTCTTTTCGCTTGATCGAATGAACGCTGGTGTACACCTACTTTGAAGAGAACAAGTACCTTCAACCGAAGTTAAAAAAAAAAAACAACGAAAAAAAAAACAATGAGAAAAAGACAGGAAACGAAGCCCTTAATACAATTTTTCCATTTCCTTTTTATATAATTATATATCATAAAAATATAAATATGTGAAAGATAAAACTAAGATCCATATGAATTAATTCCATTGGGTTGATTGAAAGTAAATTTATAATAGAGACTAAATCTAATTACAGCTAGATACATGAAAGAGCTTTCGGTGCGAGATTTAGAGGTTCACGGCGGTAATAGCGCGACATAGGTTAAAAATAAAGACGACGAAGGTGGACTTATAATTAAATGCTTACGTTCAAGTGCAATGTTAGCGAGCGATACCTTATCTAAAAATACCTCTGTAGTTCTGAAATTTGTTAGAACCTACATCATCCATTGAAACAACACAATTGAACCTTAAGTCCGCCATTTCTCTTCTTGGAGAAAAATAGCAAGCTTTTCTGAGAATTGATTGAAAATAATTTAGCCGCTGCGACTATAATACGAGCGCGCGTAGAGAAACTTTGCATATATCGTAACAAGTCCAAGAAAGGACTGCAACGATCTGCCTACGTGTTTTTATGCTATCATGCAACACATATAGTAGGTAGAGCATAAGTTCGCGAACTCTCTTTCTCTCTCGCTCTAAACGCTCTTTTCGAGAGGAATTTCTCAGTCCGCCGGCCCGGCCTAGCCTTCCGGCTGCTGAAGCAGCCTATTCCAATATATATTCATAATAACACTCGCACACTCTGCAATACAATTGGGCAATTGGGTCGAAGATAAGACAAGTTGGGCGTGGAAAAAGTGCGTACGCGTGCAAGAAGTTGTTTGAAATTTCGCTCGAATCTAGGTTCTTCGGAGTGAAATTAAAAGTTATCGTAAGTGATGATGCTCCACGATACGAAACAATCGTCCGAGGGATCATCATTATCGATACAAGTAGAAAATTGTACGGAAAGAGTCGATAGAAGATAGTGTGCCGTTATGAATCTCACGACAATTTCGCGACGCCGACAGTTGCTTCTTTAATGAAATTAAATTGAATGACAAATATTGACGTAGTTTTTTCACCCACGCACTATACATTAATGGTTTCCATTCAGCACTGTTTTTGAATAACCCATAAAAATGATTATCTATAATATTGTAATTCAAAGCAGTAACATAATCGCAACGCTAAAGTTTGCGTGGGTTGGACGACATGTAGCCAGTCATCTCAAAAATTACACGTAGACGCGCGTTTTTAGATTCTAAAAAGCTTTTAATAGTTATGCTAGATTTTTTTGATATAAAGTCTCGCATCGTTTCTCGATACTCGGGAGTTCTTTTTGCGGAATCATCGGTGTTTCGTAAAAGCAGACTGTATAGATCATCCGGTTATAAGCGCTCCCCTTGCAAAAGTATATATGTACATAACCCATACTTGTGTGTGTATATATACACAATCCACACCTTCCTATAAATAGACCTCTAAAAACTATAAAATGCCACGAATGTTGGCTTGTATGTGCGAGCTGCACGAGTTACACTAAAGCAATTGTTTCTCTCTCCCTTATATACGCTCCACTATGGAAACGCTAAAACACCCACGCTACGGCATCTCACGCCCTGCATAATGAGTGAGAGTATATATAGGGCCGTCGCAAACTGGCCCCGAAGACCGGCACTAAAGCAATCGAGAAACGAATTAAGAAAAAGTTCTGCCAGGCGAGGTAGGAGACACCCACAATATTTGTGCTCGTCGTCTCGGCGTCATCAAAAAGCATCGAAATAAACTGTAACCGAGAGAAAGAGTGATGTGTCAGTGCTGTGAGTGAACGAGTGTGTGTGTGTGTGTGTATGCGTGTGCGTATACTACGGACTATATATCGAGTCGAGCACCACGAGCGCCATTTTTACACGCATCGGAGTTATATTATGCCAGGCGCAAAGCGCACGCTGGCTGGGCCGCCGCGAGCTGTCTATCGCTGTGTATGTGTGTAAATGCACGTCGGTATTGGGGATTCTTTCTTATCCACTATTAGGTGTATAATGCGAGTGACGTGCAGCCACCGCTGCACCGAATGTTTACATACCCCGAGCATTCAAGGAGTGGGCTGGCGTCGAATTTGACAAGCCACAGCATAAAGTCAAGAACCAGTTCTATTTTTCGCTCTCTTTCTTGCAGGGAAGGTCTGCGCACGGCCACCCTTGTCACTCGATGAATTTCACAACTCACAAATTGGAACAATGCACCTTTTTTTTTTATTTAAAACGCTGACACAATGCTCTGCACGAACTCTTCCGTTCGCTCAAGCCACTCTTACAACGTTCTTCACTATATATGTATTTATACATATACTTGCGTCGGCCGTGGACAGCTATAACCTTTCATAAACACACGCGTATTACGAACCTCGTCCAACTCGATTGTATCTCTCTTGCGACCGGCGCGCGACTGGAGTATAGCTCGGCGGCCTCCTATATAACATGCACTCGTTGGGCTTCGCGGTGCTCACTCTGACGCTGCGAGACAGACCATAATATACGGATTACACACACATTCGCACGATACCGTGCCTTGTGAGAGTAGTAGCGCCACTGCGACGGATTTGAGTACGCTTGCGCAGGCGGGTACATACTCCTAGCCCGTGCCCGGGCCTTGTCTCCGTAAATTATAGGATATACACTACTTAAAAGGTCTTTAACTCTGCGGCGGCTCGAAATTCGAACCTAGCCAAGTAGGGGCTCTGTTTGTGCTAACCCCTTATACCATTGTTATTATTGCCGCTTACTTCGATACGGGGCAAACCCTACTACGCTGAATTTACGTTTGCAGCAGTCGCAGTATAAAACGCCCTATGATGTACTAATTCTCGTACGCGTAAGCTGTGGCATGTGTATTATAGGTATATTGCTATGTCTCATCGTTGTGTCTGCATTGCACGTGTGTGTGCATGGGGTCAAAGTGAACTTCGGAGTTTATGATTTTGAACGGAGCGTATTGTGTGTACGCAGATTCAATGTTTACTCACACTGGAGTAGTAGGAGATGAATGGGCCGTATTCAGACAGGTGCCACAAGTAGAAAACAGAACATCGTGATTCTTTTTTTCTTCGAGATTCAGTTTTATAAAATTGAAGCATCTCTTTCAAATACTAGATTTCTCTATAACGATCATTATTTACCTCAAAATTAAATTGCGATGGTTAAAAATGTTTAAGATTTATATCTTTATATCAATTTAAAAAAAAAATAAAGTACAAAAAACCTTCAATTTATTGTGATCAAATTATGAATGAAAAACTGTACTCTAAATTTGCTTAAAAGATCAACTATAGTCCTTTCATCATAAATGCATAATGCAATGCATTAAACTGCAAGGAATAAAAAATTATAATTTTTATTTCGTTAAAAAGCAAGGACAGGCTCAATCATAAATAGCTACGTTCCTGTGTACATACATTATAGCTCGAAGACATGGCACACGTCTGGTACTATGACATCATCAGCCGGGCGGTCACGCCCCAACCCACGGATGATACGATGATACTCGGCCTTTATACATTAATTTTTTTAACCCTTTGAAATTAATATAATTGAAATGTGCTAATTAATTATTGTCACGAGCTCGATAAACATTTTTTTTAATTTGAAGGATTAAGAATGTGATAATACCTAAGATTTAGCCAAAATGTTGCTTAAAAAAAGTATTTAAATTGAAACTAACACGAATAATTTAAGCTTTTCAATTCATCCCTATATTTTTTAATGAAAAACTAGTTAATATGTGTTTCATGTACGAATTGCGGTTACATATATGGTTGATTCTCCTGAAATCTGCTTTTTGCATGTCTTTATGCCATATTCTTAAACTAGTGAAGATGAGCCAAAACTGGCTCGGTCATTCATTCAATATTGTTGTATTCTTCATGATAGGACATAAATATTTCAATTTTTTAGGGTCAGTTAAATTTGCCGTGAAAATATACATGCCAAATGTCACCTCCGTGGCATGTCTACATCTCAAAATCAACTCTATTTGCATGTACCATGCATTCTCATTAGCACCTGACCCTATAATAACTATGAGACCAGCTTCTATACATCCAGAGTAAAGTTTAAGTCTATTATAGGGCTTTGAAAAATGTTTTAAAAAAATTTCCCACGCAATTGAAAAATGTCTCGGATTTTAATCATGCTTCTGAATAATTTCAAACATACCGCCTGCTTTGGGTCGCTAACTCATTTTTGATGTCGCTAAATACGTAAATGTCAAGTATTATAGCCCAGCTTTCGATTGGTGTATGTTGCGGGTTCAAATTTTACATTTTATCGATGCTGCGATAATTATTCTATTGAAAAATTCACGTGTGTCAAAAAAACGGTCACCTCCGTGGACATGAATATCTCGAGCTATGATCATTCTTTTTAACCGCTCGCCCCGTCAAAAGACTCGTTTTTCATGACCAAATTTCGGGTTGTGCGGAAAATTTTGTGCGTTTCTTATTTTTCTTACATAGTTGATCAAAGCAGCGATTTGTCACCTCCGTGTGTGTCACCTCCGTAACCGAAAATAGTCGATTTTAAGCATAAAATCGGACATAGTTTTCGTAAAACGAAATCTCAAAGCCCCAGATTCAATAATTATTCATATTTTATGGTTTAAAAAAGGGTAAACTAGTTCGCGCCGTTCAATATGACAAAAAAATTTTCACCATTTTTTCGTTTTCCATACCCGAAAAAGCAGATTTCGGGAGAATCAACCATATATTGTTGAACAAAATATTAACAGATTCGTTGGTCATATTTACAAATACATGATTATAAAATTTTTATACAACATTTTTCAATACATTTTAGGATCGAAATATAGTCCTGACATTTCTTACATACTAAATATTTTCGTTTAAATAAAAGCAGTTCTTTATATTTTACGCTGGCATGAAAAATGCACGATGTCTCCGTTCGGATATCTTGCAAAAGCACTGAAAAATAAATCAAAATTTAATTTGTGTCTATAAGATAGCCAATTCGACATAAGAGAAATATACTTGCCTCTGATTTCCAAATCTCTTTTTACAAACAGGGCAAACATTGAACTCTGTCATAAGGACACTCTGACTCTCGACACGCATTCTTTGTTCCTGAACCTGTAAATGTTCGGCATACAAGAGACCTTTTAGTATTTGCAATCTTCTTCTATCGGTTATTTTTTTATGTAAGCTAGCTTCTAGGAAATGTTTGATGCGCCCAATCGGTACAGAATCCGGCAATACTGCGAGTGCTTTAATTGGATCGATTTTCGACGCATGTTCTTCTAATAATTCCAGAGCTGTTTCTAGATCTGGTTGACTAGGTCTAGCACATGCTCCATCTCCGAGCATCAAGTCAATATCGTTATCCTGAAGTTTTAAGAGTTGACGAATAAGCGTCACATAAACTTCCTCGGAGTTTTCAGCATTTTTCGCGCGTTCTGCTGGCGTTTGAGCTGCAATAACAAATTTTTAAAAATTACTATTGGCCAAGACTTTACATGTTTCCACTTACTTTGATATCTTGAATACACATTATTACAATACTGTATTGCTTTTGGTACATCATTTAACAAATTGATATAAATAGCCAGAGCTTGTTGGTGTTTGCCTAGTTTTCCCAAGATGATTGCTCTTTCTTCGTACAAACAGTCAAATGGAAAATCTCTCAATACTGTTTCTGGAGTATAATGTTGAGATTTTTCTAGCAATTGCTGCAACTTTTGCCTAATATGTTGAATGTTTTGCTTTTCAGCGGGTGTTGCCGTTGGAGCCTGAGCTGCTAAACATTTCTCTTTGTATTGATGAACAAGAACATTGTGAAACAGAGGATTAGTATCCTCCCAAACATGTACTACATGCTCAAGATACGTAATAACAAGATCCTTATAACAACGCAATAAATAATCAAGAACTTTAGGACGAGGAAGATGTTCTACCTCTTGAACGTCCTCCATAAAAATTCGAAGACCCTCATCAGGATCTTGGGCCAAAACCCAACTTGAAAATTTTAAGATAAGTTCCATATGGTCCTTACCAAGATGCTGTAAATATTGTATTGTTCTTTCTGTACCTTTCAGACTGGAATCACTTTCTTTTGATTGTTTTTCTAATAATTCCAAAGCTTTTTTGTGCTGACCTTTTGTTTGATATAAAATTATAAGTTCAGGATATTTTTGATGCTGTAAAAGTGTCTTTTCAGCTTCAGCTAAGTGGCAATGATTTAATCTCAACAGTGGAGCGACCAATGCATCGTTAGTTTGTAAATAACATTTTAGTAAAGTTGTATCGATGATTTTTAATAATTGTTCTGTTGCTACTGATGTCATATTTTTTAATTCTTCACCAGGATTTATTTTTTTGCCTTTCATTTTTTCATTTGCTTCTTTGTCTTTATTGTTTATAAGTTTATACCTAACTTCTGTTAAATAATCTATTAAAGCCAACAATCCACTTTCTAGATCTCTATCTTGAAGTTTAAGCGAATGTAATTCAGGTTCATTTGGTTCATTCAAATTTGGAGTTTGTGACACCAAATCTGGAAAAAGTCTAATTACTTCATATGGATCAGTTCCTAATTTTGAAAATTGTTCCATTGCTTCTCTGAATTTTTTATTACGAAACAAGTGATGAGCGTAAAGTGTTTGTATTTTATAGGTTTTTTTTGTTCTTTCTTCTTCTGATAAATCAGATAGATTCTGAAAAAATTATTTGGTGAATAGTATCTTGCACAAAAAGTTCCAGTTTAATATAATTTTATTCAAACTTACTGTAAGCTTTAGAGCCAACTGAAATTGACTTTGTTCAAGCAAGATTCTGATTTGCTGAGCAAAATCAGTAGCATTAATACTCCAAACTTGACTCATAGATGCAACATAAACTTTACCTTGTTTACATCTACAAATTAATCTGGCCTTATTAAGTTCTGGAATTGTTTGAACATGCATACAACTGTCAAGAGTATATACTTCTAGGGAATCGTGAACAATTCCTAAAAGATATGGATCGTCCCAAGCTAAAAATAAATTATGCTTTATCGATAAATATTTCAAAAATATAGATTTAATAGATGATAATTATTAATATACCAGAGGCACAAGGGAAATCTGTCCATTTAACAGGATGATGTTGAAACATTTCACCATTAGTATCCACAACAAGTGATTGTGAATCTTTTCCTAAAACAAATGTATTATCAGATATTCTGGTAATACTAGGTTCTGGAGCTTTTCCTGTTGGAAAAAGTTCTTTCGATTTTCCTTGAAAATCCATGAGAGAATATGAAAATCCTCGATAGCCTAAAATTAAAGTTTCCCCACACCAAGCCAATTCTCTTGGTATATCTGGAACAGATAATTCTCTAGGTATGTCAGAAGTTGGTGCTTGTTCATTAAAGATTTCTTCAAACATTTTTTTTTTCTGATTCCAAAAATATAGCTGTAATTTTCGTTTAACAGCAACACATAATTTTACAACAGTATTTTCACCAGTCATTGTTTCATGTTTCTTGACATCTAATGCAAACAGTGAAGCTCCTCTAGTTTTTTGGAGCTGGCAAATTTGGTTCAAATTTGTTGAGTTCAAATCATGAATACAGATTATGTTATCTAAATATAAAAAAAGTAAAAAAGTTTAATTTTCAAAAAATAATATCAACACTATTATATTTTGACTTTTACCTGTTAAAAGAAGCAGTAAATTATGCTCTGGTACAACAGCTATTTGCACAATACGTTTTTTGCTGAAGTTTTTACTGTAACGAAATAATGATGGATTTTTGTTTTCATTTGATTTAGAATCATTAGAAGCAACATTGTACATCAACAAATGTCCTTCTCGTGTGCCAATTAATAAGTAGTCGTCTGAAATTCATTTTTATCATGATTGAAAACATTGATTGTTATGTATGTATAGGATTTATCAAATAATAGTGCATACCATAAGCTGTCATAGATTCTATTTGAACACCCAATTTGAGCATTAGCGTTGCCTCATATGCTTCATGCATTTTGATTTATATAATTTTTGGTTTAGTCACTTAAGATTTATTATGTAAATGCATAAATTAATAAAGATCCATCAACTTAGCAAATCAAAATTTGTAATGAAAATTTTTATAGCCAACTTAATTAAAAATCTTTTTTGTTTACTCCAGAAGAAAGTTTCTTTACAGATTTTTACAGACTGATTTTTTGTTTCCAAAGCACAAAGAAGTAAAACCCTGAGTTGTACAACACGCACACTTACAGTTATTAATCATCATATCAGCTGTTTATAATAATAAACATGTAACCTCTATCAAATGTCTCAAAATACCACATTTATTGATGTCATTGTAATTTTCAAATAATAAAAATAAGTGAAAATATGAAACAAATAAAAATCTTGCGGTGTATTCAGACATTGGTAATTTCCATTAATATTTATAGTACCTGTCAAGTGACATTTATGTGTACATATTCTAAGAACACAACATGCGCTGACTTTAGATAGGTGGAGACACTATGTAGGCGGATCGGATTTTGGTTTTATTTCCCATTTTCCCAAGCTGATTTTGCTAACTATTCATATTCTGCTATAAACGACTGCCGACAGATTTAACGTATTCCACGTTTTGTACCAATAATACATCGCGTCTTTATTGTCGGTTTAGGTTGCAAAATATAAAATTTAATTGATTATCACTGCTGATTTTAAAAATGAAAATTAAAAGTTATAGTTATTAAAAAGCATTTAGAAGTATTGTAGAGAAATTCTTGTTTTTATTTCCAATGGACCCATCAGAAAAAGACCAGCACACTGATCATCATATCATTACGAATGATGAGAAGATCAATGAAAATGGAGAGGTCAACGAAGTTAGTGGTTATTTTTTGTTTATAATTTTTAAGGTTGTGGTGTATTAAATTTATTATGAATAATTTTTAGGCCATTAATTTAAAAGACTCGCCAGGTAGACAAAAATTACGAAGTTGGTTGAATCGACGTCTATGGATAAAAATGACAGATGGACGAATATTAATTGGTTCGTTTTTGTGTACTGATAGAGATGCAAACATCATTTTAGGACTTTGTGCCGAATATTTATCAGATAACTTAGACCTTGAAGCAAGAACTTTAGGATTGGTTATGGTACCAGGAAGGCACATAGTATCAATCCACTTGGATGTTTAAGAATGAAAATCTGAACTAATTCATATTTTTTATTTACTTAGCTTATTTATGAATTTAGTATACTGGAGATGATCAGTCTTCATTGAAAAATGTTCATTCAATTATAATATGACATAAGCCTTGTACAAAAGTTGTAAATAAACATTTATTAAGTCATATACAATTTATAACAGTTTCTTATTTGCTAAACCATAACTATAAATCTTTATTCTTTGTTTTGAGATCTTGTATTGTTGAGTTGTTTCATTCACTTACACCTTTTCCAGCTAAATGATAATTTATTTTCCTTATACTTTTATTGTACTTTATAAAAAAAAATTTTAAATATTGATAATTTAGAAAATCTTACTGCTTTTAATGGTTTCTTCTTGGACTTTTGTGTATTCTTCTTCCAACTTTGAGTTATTAGATTTTTCAAATTCAATTTTTCCCAATGCATCATCTATTCTTTGTGTCAATGTTGTAGATAAATTATCCATTCCAGCCAAAAAGCTTATTTCTGAAGCAGCTTCAGCCATTTTATGTACATATTCCATGTACAAAATAAATTGCTAAAAATCATAATATGGACATGGATACATTACATGGAAATTATTGAAAAGCTTATAGTAAACTTTTGATTATTTGGTACCATGATGATTTTCTTTTTTTCTTGCATCTGGTATCGAATTTCAAGGATTTCATCCCAATGTGAATCAGTTACTGGATGCATTATTGCTTCATTCATCAAGGCTATTAGTCGAGTCAACAGCACTCTAAAACATTTATTTGAAATAAATATTTATAAAAGTGATAGGTGCCATAGAAATTACATTTACCAAGTTTACCTATAATCTTTACTATTGCTTTCTATAGCTGAATAAGTCAATGTCAAAGCCTGAGAAGCACTATTCACAGCACTCAAAGTTGATTGTTTTATCAAATAATCATAAGAAAGGTTTGATGCGTCAGGAGTTTCAAATTTAAGTTTTTGTTCATGAGTTGGATCTTTTGGAGGATTGGGATTGATGAACATTGATGCAGTGGTTCCATACTACACTTTGCACATGCAAAATTATTTGTCAATAGAAATATTTAAAAAATTGTTTTCTTTAAAATTTGAATGTATAATCTAGTAATTATTTGAGTCAAGTTTTCAAAAGTGACTTCAAGTGTATATTAAATCTTGACATAAAAGATTTCTTACGAGTATCAAAGGGTGAACAGGTTTCAATCTTCTAAATAAAATTTTGAATCCGTGTCTAAAAGCCATTATAGATTATAGATAATAATGGAACAGAAATTTGGTTGATCATATTTACATTGAACACAATTTTGATGTTGAGGTTAAGGACTGGTCATGGTACCTATTACCTACGGTATCAAGTGAGATAAGTTGCGTTTTCAACGGTAGAGGGGAAAAAATTGCAAAAATAATAGTTTAATTTATGAAAAATTTGAATGAATATATTAATTTATCATAATTATTTTTTTAAATTTCATAAATACAATTTTCACTCAAAATATAACAAAAATTTTAGTTGACAAATCTATGAGAATGAAAAATTATTTGTAGCAAAGTTGTAACTTATTTATAGAGAAATGCAACATTTTTTCATATCTAAAAATCAAATAATAAATATAATTAACTAACTAAATGCTTTAGCATACAATTTTCATTTTTCCAGATAATACATACATATCTTTCAGAAATAAACAACTCATTCAATTTTTTTGAAAATTATCAACATGCATTCATTCTATTGCACAGTATTTTCTCTGCACTAATTAAAAAATTATTTTCAAATTGTTTCTATTTTATAAAAATATTTTAGATAATGTCAATGAATTTTATTATTATGTATTCTCATTTATTCATAACGAATTCAATTCAATGCTATAGAATCGTTTGAATATGGAATTACGTCTGGTTCATGTTTGTATATATGATCAAATCCATCTCATCCTTATATGTTAATTTAAAAAAAAATTCAACAAGAGCCATTGATCAAATAAAAAGAAGTTGAATTATTTTGAGTCTAACATTCTTGTATAAAAGAAAAAATTGTATGAAGTGATTGATCAATATAAAATTTGCTTTCAATACCTGCAATAATTAACAATACAACATTTCAGTACTTGTTGAAATCATTAAATATTAAAAAATTATAGAGTATCTCAAGTACATCTTTTTTAAGTGCAGGAAAGAAAATAATTTATGATTGAACATTACTTATGTTTAACTATTTCATTCACACACTCGCATAATTACAATATTTGACGAACAATTTTAAAATCGATTTAAAAATAATTTAAACCGATCAAAACAACAATCTCATTTTTTTCGTATTTCTTGACATATGTCTTAATTTTACGAAAAAAATTTAAATATTTAAAGTTCTTGATGCTCGTCATTGGATGCAGCGTCTTGCGTCTTCTCATTCGTAATTGGTTCATCATTCCAAATAGGTAGTTCTAAAGTTTCATCTTTTGCCTCGTTTTCTTCAGATGATTTCTCTGTTTCTGAGTCAGTTTTCTCTTTATCACTATCAGTTGATTTACTGTCACTCGCGTTTTCGGTTTCGTTTTTAGTAGAAGTTACAGGTTCTTCTTTGGGCCTCCAAATTTTCGCCTTATTAACGAGATACTTTACTTCACGATCAAGAATTGCCATTTTGTTAGCAATATCACGAACTTTATGTACCACAGGTTCGTAAAGTTTCGTTTCTTTGGACACCTTTACTACGAGATCATGATATTCCTATAAAAAATGAATTTAAATATTAAACTATATAATATCAACACGTTTTAAAAAATTTAAATTGTAAATATTACTTGTGTTTCATTGATGACTTTTTCGAGAGTCTCGATTTCAATCGACGTGAAGATTTCAGAAGATACATTTAACTTTTTCATATTTACCAGAAAAGTTTTACTTCCATTCAACATAGAAACCATGCCCTTTAAAACTTCGGGGCGTTCTTTATGTTCAAATACTCTTTCATTTACATCATTAGTTAGTTTTTGCAACTCTTTCAATTTGTCTTCAAAAACATCAGCTGAAGCATCAAAACCTTCTTCATAAAGCCATTCTGAGGCGTCACTGCAAGCTTTCCTAATTTTCTCGGATTCCTCTGACTGAACAGCTTTTTGATATTCATCAGTTTCAAGTTTTTGTTGCATATCAATAACAAAAGATTCTAAATTATTCAATGCACTTTCTCGTTTAGCTTTTTCTTTATCATAAGTATCCAATGCTTTGAGCCTATAAATTAAAATGAAAATTCAATATTTATAAAATATAGTATAATTACCAATATTTATTGAAAAAAACCTTACTTGCTCTTAGAAGCAGAGAATTTATCATCGGAAAGTTTTTGAGATCCTAATTTCTCTACTTTAGCTTCAATAGACTCTTTGAGGAGAATTTGAGTAGGTTTTTCTTTTACTACTTTTTCCGTTTTATTTTTAGTTTCATTTTCAACTGGTTTTGTATCGTTTGATTCCTTTACTTTTTCATCAGTTTCTTTTTTATTTTTTTCTTCAGTAGTTTTTTCTTCATTTTGTGATGGTATCTTTATTTTTTCTTCATTTTCTGAACCTGTTAAAACAAAATGTATTGTTTATCCAAAATAAAATGAAGCCGAGTATAATTTCTGGTTCAAAAATTAATTAATAGTTTCAATTATGGCTTCTTTGTATTATAATAGATTCTGGATGTGTATAAATTATACATTAATATCCATATTTGAACTATTAATTGAATTTTTGAGTCAGGACTAGAGACGGTTACAAACAACATTGCAAAAATTGGGTATTACTTTGAAAAGCTACACATGCAATTATAAAATTTATCAACAAATTTAAGAAAACAAAATCAAAGTATGCATGAAATAAATTTCCGTTTCTAGTCATTAGCCAAGTCGCTGATAACAAACCAGAAAAGAGTTTGCTTATTGTCGAACCAAGTTTAGAGAAAGCACCTTCTTCTTCCTTTCCATCTTCCTCTGCAATCACAGTTTTTTCTGAGACAAGTTCTACATTTATCAAATTCAGTACACCACTGTCATCCATTGCAAAATGAGCTTTGATTCCTTTACTTTCTGCTGATTCTTTTTCATGTTTTGCTAAAGCTTCTGATACCCCAGACAATGATATAGTAGAAATATTTAAGTTACCAATTGCACTGAAAATACATTAGTTCAAGGATGAATACAAGAAAACGTAATTTTCAAATTACTTTAATTCTCAAAACTTACGCTACTTCCTCTGGAGATAAGTAATCAAGATCCGAATAATTAATATCAAAAGTGAAATCAGTTGTGTGTTTGTTAAAAGTAATGATTTTCTTTTGTGGATAAGCATTCATTTTACTGAACAACGTTCTTCGAACCTGAAATAAGTGATGATTAAATTTTCTGATCAAGTACAGTAATTTGAAAAGACATTTTTTAAAATAAATACCTGTTTAACTTTATCCTCTGCTACTCTATCAAACAAAACTTGAATGGGAAATAATACTGCATCTTTGGTGATAAATTTCTTGACTTTAAAACCCTGACTTAGATCTGCAGCTCTGTAAACTGCACCAAGGGCTGCAGCTTCATCAGCATTAATATTTTTAGCCAAATCTGTTTTCAGAAAAGCAGCCAACTTCTCTTGAACTTTTGGCACACGAGTACCAGCGCCAACTAATACAACTTGAGAAATAATATCCATTGTCAGAGCTGAAACAAAAAACAAATTAATAAAAGCATTTTGAAAGCTGACAATTTTTCTTGAAAATAGAGTAATTACCTGAAGTTTCAAGAGCAGTTTTAACTGGGTTAGCAACTCGCTCAAACAGATCAAAACAAATTTCTTCTAATTTTTCTCTAGATACCAACAATTTGAAATCCTTTTCATCCAAAAGACCTTCAATCTGAGCATAATGCTCTGCATTAGCACTCAAAACATTCTTTACTCGTCCAGCTTCTTTGAAAAGTTTAGCCATAGCTCGAGGATTATTGAACACTGAATTGGGTGTTTTTTTCATTGCATCAAATTCCTTGGCCAAGTAATCTCTCAATCTTATTTGCATTTCTAATCCACCAAGTGTTCTATCGTATCCAACTCCTAAAATACTAACTTGGGGATGTGTTTCAAGAAATCCTCTATCCTTTGATTTTACATTTTGATACCCAACGATAGTGGCAGTAGTACTGCTAGCACCCATGTCATAAAACATAACATAATGAGCTGAGTCATTAATTTCTTTGCTCCTAAAAATACCATAGTTAAGAGCTACAGCTGAATAATCATTTATCAGTTGTAGAACCTTAATATTGGCTAATTCAGCTGCTTGAAGAAGAGCTTGCCGTTCAGCTTGGTTAAAGAATCCTGGAACAGTTATAACTGCCTCTTTTATCTTTTGTCCAGCAGAAATTTGAGCAAATTCTTTAGCTTTGTATAATAGTTGAGCAAGAAGTTCTTCTGGGGTATATGTTGTTTCGTCATCAATACGGAACAGTATAGTATTTCTCTCAGAGTCAGCTTCAATATTGTAGTAAGGAAAACGTTTTTGAAATAGTTGAACCATTGGATTATCAATAGATTTTCCAATAAGATCTAAAATATAAGAAAAACTATTTTTTGGGAAGCGTGTACCCACAACTTGGGCATCTTCACCAAATGTACGTTCACCATCTCGGAATGATATTGTTACTGGAGTTTTTCTTTTTGATTCTTTGTTCAGTGCTATTTCCATTGGTACACCAGGCTAATTAATAAATGATACATGTTTTAATAATTTTCTCAATTAAAAATTAATTCTTGCACGAATATGAATACTTACTGAGACTATAGCAATTTTCATCCATTCACTTCCTAAGTCAACACTCATAACAGCTAGCCCTTGTGTTTGAGTAGTCATCAGATTGATGAGCAACAAAAGTAGGCACAATACTGGCATTTTCCTGATTTGAATCATTTTGTTTCTGTAAAACAATTTTTGCGATAAACTATATTTTGTATTAGAATTACTTGATACGTTTAAAAAAAATATGCAATATCAATGTAAGATTTATCGTGAACCCATAGTATTTTCCCGAACGATCGCGAAATAGACCGCGTTAAAGTCAGAAGCACACGTCAGCGAAAAGCAGACGTCAATACATACAGCATAATTTTATTAACGAAAAAATGCATTATTTATTGAAACTTTCTTGATATAATATAGAGTATTGTTAAGTTGTAGATTTTGATTCAAATGAGGCATTAATTATAAGCTTGAAAATTAATTGGAACGAAATTTTTAAATAATACATTCGAAAGTTGTAAGTACAATAAACTGATGTGGCCTGTAACTTTTAAGGCATAATACTGATATATGAAAGATGTGTATTTATAAAATATAATGTTGAATCGGCCGTTGAGTACGATAGGACTAAACTTAGCTTATATTAAATTTTCACTTACTGTTTTCAAAAGTCAATCTGTCAATACTATTGAGAATAATTAATTGACGTTGATCGTCGCCAGAGATAATATAGAACTAGGAAATCATTTATAGGCTTTACTTCGATCGCAAACACAGCTGTTTGAGGGATACAGCAAACTTGGGCAAAGAGTCGGATACACAAATGTCCACCTGTCGTGGTCCTGGTAAATGTATTCGTGTGACAAAAAGGCAACTGCTCTAACCACACGTATGTTATGTTCTACTTGTACAAAACTGTACCTACTTCGTATTCGGATCCAGACGGCTTTTGCAATCTGGCAGGTTGAACGATAGACGCACATGAAAATGCGCAAAATCTTCTACATGTGGTTCGTGTGGCAAATCGCTATTGGTTGTAAAGCCGGCTACAGCGAATATCTTCTACATACAGCACTCTTAATAGCTGGCATTTTTTGCGCGATTTTCAAATATTTTGCAATGACTAATTTCATTTGATTTGCAACATAACATTTTCTTCATTTCAACAAAATTTGCTGAGTGTATACGGGAAATTCATCGAGAATCATTTAAAATTGTCCTATGCAAGCTGGAGCCACATTTAACTACTAATTGGCACTTGAGCGTTTTTGCGAGCTTTTTGCTGAATTGCGAAATTTTTAGTTCGTAAAAGTCAAATTTCGAGGTTACTAAGATGAATTAGTACAAGTTGCCAAATTGTTTTTCGCTTTTTAGACAGCCTGAATAAAATAATTTTGTAGAATGAAAAAAATTGATCAAAACGTTCTGATAAAATTTCAATACATTTTGTCATCAATTCATGAACGTGTTAACAATTTTTTAATTTTGCAATAAATTATCAAGAAAACCTTTGTACAATACTAATAATACTCGTGTATTTTTTTTCGTCAAAATCAAATCCTGGGTCAAATTTGGTCTTTATGCATTAAAAATCCTGCCTTAAATGCAAAAAAAAACAAAATTGCAACTTTAATTCAAAACCAAATCGACCGCCTGAATTTTGCAGTCTGATAAAATCGAAATTCAGTTACACCAATTTACCACGGGAGTTCACGAAAATTCCGTATGCCGACAATTTTATCCCCTCCTACTTCATAGTAGTTATCATGGCGCGAGTGTTGTAACGTTTTGGCGGTTAAGCCAGCATTGAAAGAGTCTGTTTATGTTTGGAGTCGACGCGCAGATTCAAGATATTGCAGCTTGCAAGTGCTTAGTGCTCATTGATTGATAAGTGCTTCTATCTTTACAGAGCTCGTAAAGCTAAAACATTTTATTCAGACAAATTATAAATAAATAAAAAAAATACAAAATGATTATCCGAGAATTTTCAATTCCTATGGATAAAGAGGAGCTTGTAAGAGTATATTTTGGAGAATATGGGCACCGTGATCCTGTGCCATTGCAAATGATTAACCGAGAAATACAAGGTATGACTATAATATTTTAATTTTTATCAATAGATAATTTTATTTTGGAACATTTTTTATTAGCCAATTAACCTCATTTGACAATTTTTTCTAGCAATTACCCTACAATACATATCAGAAACACCACCGATAGAACTAACTAGAGAAAAGCAAGATTTATTTATGTCTATAATAGTACATGGAACAAAGATAGAGCTGACAGTTCTTTTGAGAGCTTTTGGAAAAGCTTTAAGAAGTATGTCCAGTTATATATATTTACAATTTTTAAAAAATTCATGTAGCATCAAGTTTTGACAGAAATATGTTTCAGTTTTACAAAATTTTATCGCTCTCCTTGAGAAGAAAACAGTGAACAATCAAGATATAGATTGCGAAGATGAAGAGAAAGCTGCATTACTTGATTCGACCAAAATTTTGGCTTATATTACATCATCTATTTTATGTTTAATAGAAGATCAAATTGCAGATAATGCTAGTCAAAATGCAATGGAAAATATTGGCAAAGTTAGTCTTGAATTACTATATAAAACATTCAAAATTTATAAAATTATGTAACAATATCAATAATTTTAGCGCAAAAAAAATGTTCAAAAGTCTGACATTGAAGAAGAATGGGAAACTCAAAGAGAAATGGCTCTTGAAACCATGTTCAGATGGTTACAGTTGCCTCTTAAACAGTTATGGACTCCTCCTATTGTTGAAGATTCATTTGTAGGGTATGTATCAGTGTTGAAATTAAATATTAGATAAGGTTGATACTTACCTAAATGTTACTTTTTAGAATTATCAGTCAAATTTGCTACAAAATATTAGAAAAAACCAAGGATATTAAATCCAAGCAAGTTAGAATGTTGATTTTTCAAGTAAGAGCTTCATGAATAAATAATACATATATTGTCCATGTTATAAAAAAATTCTTAAAAATATTTGAAATTTTTTAAATAATAGATTCTTGGCACTCTGGTAAAAAAATATAACCATGGAATAGCTTGTGTTGTTCGAATCATACAATTAGCCAAATTTCATGAAGCTTTGGCAGCTCCCATTGGAGCAGGAGTTGTTCTTATGGTAAATGAATGTGGCTGCACTGGTTTAATCAAAGAAATAGCTAGAGAAATAGGTGAAAGCGAACCAGGAGAAGCTGACGCACGCAATTTTTCTAGTTTTCTTGAATCTATTGCTGTTACTAAAGCAGAAATAGTATTACCCATATTAGATTCAATTATGGACTATCTTGATAATGAGGTAAGCATTAATTATTTTATTGATATTTATTATACTCATTTAAATAAAATTTTTAAATTACATAAATATTACTTTTTGAAAACTCAATCGTTACTTATTAGTGTTATACTATGAGGAATTGTGCTATTGGTGTAATGGGTTTGGTTGTGTCCACTTCCTTGACTGGTGAAGAATTAGCAACTGATAAACGAGCACTGCGTGATGAATGTTTGGATAACTTAGAAGAACATATATTAGATAGTAATGCTTATGTTAGATCTAAAGTTTTACAAACCTGGCAAAAATTATGCTGTGATGGAGCAATACCTTTATCTAGGTATAACGGCTTATTGAAAAATACTGTTCTCAGATTAGATGATAAAAGTGCTAATGTTCGCAAACAAGCTTTGCAATTACTTCGAGCAGTTTTACAAAGTAATCCTTTCACATCTAAGGTTAGTTGAAAATTGTCATTATTTATCATTTTATTCCAAATTTGCAAGAAACTCAAAATAATTTATGAAATGTTTTAGATGAATCAAGAAAAATTTGCTCAAAATTTAGAACAAGCTAAAGCTGAATTAAAACAGTTGCAAACTCAAATTTATCATACATCTGGAGCTGAAGAAGAAAAAGAAGAATTATGGAAAACTCAACTGCCATTAATTGAGAAGGCCATTAATAAATTAACTGAAGCAGAAAGTACGTTGACATTTTTTAAATTACTAATCTGACTTTTTCATATTTGTTTAACAATTAAATATTATTCAATGTTATCAGAAAATAATCCTTCAAATGAAGATGATGAAAATGAGAAAGAAAATGGAGATGAAATTGACATAAAGGAAACTTTTGACAAAATACAAAATTACATTTTAAAAGATAAATGTTTAAAGGCTGTCAAATATTTACAAAAACTCTTCAATCAATCTGGTTTTGCCAAGGAAATGAAAAATCTTTCTGAAGAAACTAAGAAAGAAGCTCTACTACTTTTTATGTATAAAATATTTATGAACTCTACAACAAAAACAGAAGAAAATATTAAAGATGAAGAAGATGAGGATAATAAAGATGATTGCAAAAAAAGGTTAGCTCATAATCAAGAAGAAATAAAAATTATGGATCAAATTAAAGTAAAAAAGAAACTAGTCAATTATTTACAGGTACTTTTGTAGGTTTTTTAATACTTTTTAAAATATTTCATGAAAAAAATTTATGCTGTGTTTTTTCCAGAATTGTTATACGTTTTCTCTTGAGCTGGAACAAACTATTCCTCTAGTGGAAAAATTATTATACTCTGTAAATCCTGGTGATGCAATTGAAGCTTGTTCTTTTCTCGGAGCAGCTTATCAATTCCAAATCAATGGTGCATTAGGAGGAGTTCGTAAAGCACTTTTCCAAATTTTCTGCAAAGATCAATCAGTACGAGACAACCTTGCATCTGTATACAAAGAAATTTATCTGGATCATTCAGGAAGCCAATTGTCTAATCGACAAAAAGCTTTATTATCTGTTAAAGCACTTATACAGTTATTGGATGGAATGCAACCAGGTCAAAGTTCTGCACTATCAAAACTTCTTGTTTCATGGAGGACTAATAATGAATTAGATACTGAATCTTTAAAGGTAATATTTTGCGTATAATTTAATTTTCAATTGTGATAATTTTTAATTTTTTTTCAGGTCATGTGGGAAATGTTTTCACTGAAGTTGGCTAATACTACTCCAGAAGAAAGTAGATCCGCTTTAATGCTTTTGACAATGGCAGCACAGTTTGAGCCTAATATTATAACAGATAATCTTGATGTATTGATAAAAGTGGGATTAGGTCCAAGGGCTCAAACTGATCTTCTTTTAGCTCGTGATACATGTAGAGCTTTTTTAACGATTAAACAGGATTGTTCAAAAGACGTTGATAAGTCTCCTATAAAATATCCCAATAATCATGAAATCTTTGTACAAATTTGTTCTTTACTCAAAGAAAATTTCTTTGAAGAAGTAGAAAATGGATATGTTTCATTTGCTACAGATGCTATAAATGTAATTTACCAAGTAAGTATTTCAATTTTTATTTAATTCAGTTAACGATTTTAATAATGCTAGTAATATTTATTAGCTTGCAGATCAACCAGCTAAAATTATGGAAGAAATAATGTGCCATATTGGCAAAAAAAGCAATTTGATTAAAGAACTTGATAGTGCAGAATCTACTACTGAATTATTATCAGTTCATCTTGCTCGTTTTCTATTTTTAATTGGTCACATTGGAATACGTGCTATGGTTCATTTAGATGTATCAGTTTATAAAGAGCTTAAACGTCGAAATCAAATACGTGAAAAGAAAAAAGAGTTAAAAGCCAGAGTCAGTAGTGCACGTCGGCGTAAATCTATGAACATGTCTACAACTTCAATGAGCTCTGTCAATGTGTCAAGCGCGTCGATTATGAACAGTGCTACTAGATCGGCTCGAAAAAATAAAAATGAAGAGGAACAAGATGATAATATGGAAGGTGCTACTGCTGATGATGCTGATTTTGAACATATTAACATGTGTCTTGAAGAAGAACTACTTGCACAGAGTGGTTTCTTTGGAAAATTAATGTAAATTATCAAAATAATTTTATCATCCTCTAGAGTTTTTTCCGCATACTTACTTTCACTTAATTGGAACATTCTTTTTCAGACCACTTGTATTGGAAGTTTGTCAGCACCCTGAAAAATATTCAGATGAAATTGTCCAAGCTTATGCTGTTATAGCACTAAGCAAACTCATGACAATAAGTTCCAATTTTTGTGAGGCAAAGCTTCAACTTTTAGTGACTATTCTTGAACGCTCTCAACACGCACAAATACGTGCTAATATTCTCGTGGGTCTTGCAGATCTTATGTGCAGATTCCCAAATCAAATTGAACCTTGGACTTCTCATATTTATGGACGGTGAATATAAATTAATAACACTTACTGCAATGGATAATAAATAATGTATAAATAAAATGTTTTCTATACTTTGTATGTTTTCAGTTTAAAGGACGAAAATCTCAATGTAAGAAGTACGTGCGTTCGAATGTTATCCAATTTGATTTTAGGTGAAATGATTCGAGTTAAGGGACAAGTAGCTCAATTAGCCCTTTGCATGATTGATGATAACGATACGATTCGTACTGATACAAGGCAATTATTCAGAGATTTGTCCCAAAAGGGAAATGCACTTTACAACGTGATGCCAGATATTCTTTCTTGTTTATCAGACTCGGATTTAAATTTGTCGGAAAAAAATTTCCAAGAAATTATCAAATATATTTTAGGGCTTTTACAGAAAGATAGACAAGTGGATAGTATTATTGAAAAACTCTGCAGTCGATTTAAATTAGCGACAACTGAAAGGCAATGGCGGGATTTGTCATACTGCTTATCATTGTTGAAATTCAGTGCCAAAGGTATCTATTTAAAATATTAATTTAATTAAAGAAATTATTAAAAATATTTTCTTTCAATTTTCCAGGTATACGAGTTTTAATGAAAGATCTACCTCTATTGAAAGAAAAAATTCACAATGAAGATGTTCAAAAAGCCTTAAACGTCATTGTCGAACAAGCAAAACGTAGACCAGAAGCTAAAACAGCTTGTCTAGAACTTGAGGAAAAAATCAAAGAACTTTTAGACAGTACTGAGGATGGGGAAGATGGACAGCAATCTACACAACAAAATCCGATTTCTGATAGTGAAGCAATGCCTCCTCCATTGAGACCTGTACCTAAATCAGTAAAAGCTAAAAAGCAAGCTTCAAGACGCATGAGAATAGTCGATGACGACGATGAAGACGATGATGAAGAGTTAGATGAAAACCGTGAAAACACGTCATCTGGGAGAAGCAATTTATCCACGAGAAGTAGTAAGTTAACATTTATGGGATTTATTACATTTTATATCAGATATCTGATTTAATATTTTTTTTCATTCATTCAGCAAGACGAGGAAGATCAGCATCAACAACAAAAGATGAAACTATTGACGATTCTGAAGAAGAAAGTAGAAACGAAACACCTAAAAGGTCTACTCGAAAAAGTGCGCGAGGTTCAGCGACAGAACCAATTAAACCGGGTAAGAAAATAGCTTTTAAGTTATTATTTATCATAGATTCAAGTAACGCTAATCAATTTTTGATTTATGTGTATAGTTTCAACCAGAAAAACTCCTGTTGGTCGAAGAAGAAAAGATAGCGAAGAAAGCATATCTACTCCTTCAAAACGGTCGCGGGCAAATAGAACCTAGCACTAAAAATATTACTGATGCAATAATTAATATAGTGCTTATATTTATATTCTAATTACGTTTTTAGAGTAAAGATGTAAATATTGGTAAGTTGTTTATAAAAAATTAACAAGAACTAGACTTAATATAATTTATATTCATAATATATTTAATCTTGGACTTATATCTAATAACATTAGTATAAGTACTTTGTGTAACAACATAAATGCACGTTTTTGTTTGTCCTTTTGTACCATCAGAAAATTGCCGATAATTTTTTTCCATTACGGCAAATAAATCATTAATGATATAATGAGTATTGTCTTGATTTTTTTCATTTACAATAGATATATTTTCAGATTATTCGGAAACAATTTCAGTTTTATTATCTTTTGTGATAAGTTGCAGAAGACTTCCATTGGCTGGTCTATTTTTGTTTTGAGACCAGTCTAAAAACAAACTGTAAAAAAATTTCGAAAAATTAATTCATTTGTGGCATTTATGATCATTCCGCGTATATAAATACAGTAGACCCTTTGCATTCGCGGTAGATAAGTTCTGTAAATAGCCCGCGAATACGGAAACCGCGAATATAATCACGAACGGCATCCCCGCGTAGCAAAAAAATGACATAAGTCAAGAGAGGTTTTTATTTTTCTTTTTTGATTGGAATTTTATTGCAAGGAACCATTAACTGCGAATGAAGATGGAGGGTCTATATAGGGTAACTGCGAATAAGCGAATTCTGTGAATATGAAGGGTCTACTGTAAAAATAAAATATCGAATCTATGAGAATTTTGAAATGAAAAAATTTTGTTTGACCAATTAAAAAATGTTATAACTGCATACTAACTTTGCTACAAATTCCAATGGAGTCCAAGTAGAAGTATCAGCTTTAGGCATCCATTTACGGTTCATAGGAGTGTCTAAAGTAACTGGTAAAATACTTGCTACCAATGAATCAGTTGGTAACCCACCACCTGTAGATGCTAATGATTTTGTCAATTGATGAACTGCAGCTTTGGCCATTCCATATCCGATCATTCCTGCAGCATAATAGATTTTTAAAATTACTCATGGGGGAATTAATATGGAATGAAATAAATAGAAATAATATGATGCAGAAAAATGTTACCAGGTGTTCCTTCCAGAGCAGCTTTAGCCCCGGTCAATGAAAGAAATCCTCCTTCTTTTAGATAATGAGCTGCAACTTTAGCTGCAATCACAGAGCTCCAAATACTTTGTTTGCACATGAGGTCAGTGTTTTTGACAAAATCTTTATTGGAGGCATTGCCACCAGCCCATCCTCCAGCAACACAAATTACACCATCAAGTTTTTCTTCTCCTAGTAGCTCTTTAACTTGTGATAAAATATTTTCTTCCTAAAATGTAATTAAAATATTTCAGCAAGAAGTTAGATAAAATAAATTATAGCTGTAATAATAAAGCCATAAAGAAACTTTTTACCTGTTCAAGCCAGTTATGTTCATTATTAATAACTATATTGGCATCTGCTGCTTCATTGATTTTCATATCAATAGATCCAACCCACTGTAAAAAAATTGTTAAAAGTTATACTGAAATTCAATGTGATCAGTCAATTTTTCATTTTTTCACAATTTGCACTAAATTCTATAAAACTTCAAGAACTTATTCTATAAATACTTTTTTACAAATTGCTATCCATAGTAGTTTATTTCAATGAAGGTCACAGATATTGCAACATTAGAAAGGAATACCATTTCTTGTCCTTGAGTATAATATAATGACTTGGAATTTTAGAAAAAAATTTACTAAGGATAGATGTGTAAGTTCAAAAAATTATTATTTTTTTAAATATTTGAAGTATTTATTTGAAGAATGTGTTTATAACTTTTAATATGATAAATGTCATAATCGTCCTTGTTTCACGTATGTGAATAGAATCGTTTGAAAATTATATTCAAAGAGTTGCGTGAATGATTATAAAATTCTGAATATGATCTTTTCGTTTTTGAGTTGAAGTGGATGATGTAAAAATGAAGATTTCAGCAATCATATAAGAATTGAATAATTTTTAAGCATATGTTGAAGAAAAATTATCTAAGAACAATTATGTGCGAGAATACATTTTAAAGCAACAAGTGTTTCACATCTGTATCAATAAGCAATTCATTTCGATGCGGAAGTACGCTTAAGTTTTTCTAATAATTACTGCAAAAATTTACATGTACATTTTGATAATGGTTTAATTCTAAAACTCACATAATTATGGGTTTTAAATGTGTTGACGCAAACATTGCCTAGAGCACCTTTGCCTCCGTAAACAATAACTCGACCAATACTTGATGACATTATTGCAACGTTTTGACGTGGACTGCAGAACTGACTGAACTGCGAACCGGGACTGCTGTATCTGAGAGACCAGCTCGACGGTATAGACTATCTTTGATATGAATGGTGTATATGATGAAACAAGGAAGAGGGAGAGTGGGGGATTATTATATCGATTATTGCATGTGACACAACTCCGCTAAATTCGCCGGGAAGTTCGATTTATGTACAAATTATGGTACATTTTTCGGGGGGGGGGGGGGCTTGTTTGTTTACACTTTCTACTAATGAAATCATTATCTGCTTTAAGCGTTTGAAAATAAATTCAACTAAAATCAGCTTATGATGTATGATTGAAAAACTGGATTAGTTCAAGACACGGAAAAAAAATTATAAAAAAATGCATAAATACCATTTATTGAAACGATACCTATAATTACAATAAAATCCTCATAAATTTTAGATTTCAAGTAATTTTTATTAAAGTTACACTTCAACAAATACACAGATAACTTGATGATATAAGCATCTGTAAAATAGATAACAATTCATTTCGCAATTCATCTTTACGTAATTTTTACAATTTGACTCTATGAAACAAATGAGAAATGACTAATATGATCGAATTATTGTTGTAGTTTCTTCGCCGCTGCTAGAGCATTTTCATTGGCAATCATTTGAAATTCTTGAAAACGTTGCGATATCCTTTGGTTCATTTTCAAGAACTTTTCCATGCAGTTCATGGCACATTTGTCTTCCTTTTTCTTTACTTCTCGCGTCGTAAAATCAAATATACAGTCAACAAAACAAGTTTCCGACAATTTATTGTACGATGTTAAGAACTCCTTGAATGACTGAACTTGTTCTTTATCGACGTCGGTTGGTAATACTTGCATGTTTCTTAATTTCAATTAAACTTTTCGTCAAGAAAAACACTTTTTTTATTGTAAAAAACAACTCGTGCTACCGTTCTCGAAGAGGTTAAGATATTTACGAAAGTTTATCTCTTGAAGTTGTATGGCTAATGGCATATGGCATAGTCAAAATAACTCAAAGGCGGCGCCACATGCTACGTACCGCGTGCGCGTGTAAACTGTAAACTAAGTTTTGACTTCGTGAGTCTGAAATAAATCCAAACTAAAAGTTTTTATCAGTCGTGTCAGACGTGCACACGCGACAAGTGGTTCAATTAGTTTTTTGCTGATAATTGACTATGAAAAAACAAGACGACTAAATCAAAAGTTGCTGTTATTTTACTATTTTTACTCATAGATAATTTAAAAACGCCCTTTTGTATTATTTTGATAAAGTCAAGATGGAAAACAAATCGAAAAGAAAGTGTCAACCTAGTGCTTTTCAATACTGTACAGCCAAATTTCAAAAAGTTGACATGGATAGTGTTATACTCAAATTGCCTGAATGTCAAGAAAAGTCTCTTGAAGCATATGAAGAAATCAAAGAAGATTTGGAGGAGGGTGTGATTGACGATTTAGAAGAAAAGAAGAGACAGAAAATTCAAAAAAAATTTTGGATAAAGCGATATCAGCTCTTTAGCAAATTTGATCAAGGAATAAAACTAGATTATGAAAGCTGGTTTTCAGTTACACCTGAAAAAATAGCAAGACATATAGCAGAGCGGTGTAAGTGCAAGATAATTATTGATGCTTTTGCTGGAGCTGGAGGAAACACTATTAATTTTGCACAGACTTGTGACAGAGTTATAGCGATAGATATTGATCCAAAAAAAATAGATCTAGCTCGTAATAATGCAAAGATTTATGGAGTAGAACACAAAATAGAGTTTTTAATAGGAGATTTTTTTGAATTAGCACCAATGTTAAAAGCTGATGTAGTATTTTTAAGTCCTCCGTGGGGTGGTCCATCATACATAAACAAAAGTATTTTAAATTTGGAAAATATCATGAGTCCTTATGGTGGTGAAAAACTATTAGAGCAAGCACGAAAAATAACAAAGGAAATTGCATATTATTTACCAAAAAATATCAATAAACAGCAATTAGCAATTGCTGCAGGTCCAAATTGTAAAGTTGAAATAGAAAGTAATTACCTAGATGATAAAATAATTGCTAAGACAGCTTATTACGGCAATTTACTCAGAGTTTAGTTTTGTTGACTACTTTTACATGACTTTTTTGTATAGAAAATAGGTTTGAAAACATCAAAGAAAAGTTTTTTGATAATTTTACATGCTAAAATTTTTTAATACCTAGACTTACCGAATTTTCGATATGTAACTTACAATCAATAAAAAAGTATTAACAAATTTAAAGGAATGAATGTTTTATTGTGAATATAATTTAAATAACATTTTATTTTAAAAGTAGTCATGATGAAATATGTAAATAGAATTTCATAAGATAAGTAAATGTAATATAAAAATTAGAATAAATTATAGGTATAAAAAATATTAAAGAATTTTTTAAGACATACACTAAATAGTTATTTAGGATCATCTTTGTTCTCCAAAATCCAAAAATGTTTTTTAACTTCTCTTAAAGGGATTCTGTCCTGACTTCTACGTTTAATTAGTCTTGATATTAAATCTTTAGCACCTGGTGTAATCTGTGGTGGCCATGGAATTTCTACTTTTTTAATTTTATCATATGTTTCATCAGAGGTATCACTAAGAAATGGTGGACGTCCAACTAGAAATTCATAACATAGAATTCCTAGACACCAATGATCTACAAAGATGTCATATTTTTGTCCACTGACCATTTCAGGAGGTAAATAATCAAGTGTACCACACATGGTATTGCGTTTGTTTGATGGCGCATGCACAGACCAACCAAAATCAGCTAATTTAATATCACCATTATGAGTTAAAAGTAAGTTTTCTGGTTTAATATCACGGTGAATAACATTGTTCTGATGGCAATATTCTAATGCATCAGCGACTTGATACGTATATTTGGCTGATAAATGTTCACTAAATCTTTCTTTTGGTTGTCGTTTTAGTTCTTTATATAATTCACCTCTTGCAGCAAATTCCAAAACAAGATATATTCTTTTCTCATCATGAAAGTAAGTAAGTAGTTGAAGAATGTTTGGATGTCTTAAATGAGACTGAATTTCTATTTCTCTAAGAGCTTGCTTTTCCACTCTTGATTTAATAAGCTCAGTTTTGAAAAGAGTTTTTAAAGCAACCATGTAATGAGTATTTTTATCTCTGGCTAAGTATACTCTGCCAAATTTTCCTCTTCCTAGTGGTGCTCCAACTTCAAAATCATTCAATGACCACATGTAGCTGGTAAAAATAAAAAATAAAATGATTTCATACGGTTCCATTTTCATTATATTACAAAAATTAATTTATGTACCTATTACTCCTAGTTTCCACTACATCTTTCATCTTCAAAATTGTTTCTTGAACAGCTTTTGCATAATCAAGAGGCACTGAACTAGGCATTCTAAATGGATCCATCATTGTAGTTGTTATTAATGAAGCACAAAAATCTGTATACAGATTGTATTTGTAATTAAAAAATGGGTTTTTATGTAATTTTAATAATATTATTCATTCAAATGGTGTAAAGAGTTTTGAGGCTAAGTTGTTACTATTCATTTAAATAACAAAGGTTAGCCAAAAAAAAGTTTTCTGTAAAACTTTAATTTACTTTTACTTATTGTAAATATTTTATAAAATTATTTACAATTTTAAAATTAACAGTCAATTTTATTTTCAAGTACAATACAAAAAATTACAAGTATCGATAAACAGAGTTGACAGTTGAAAACATGTATAAGTTTTCGAAAAAAAATTTACCTTAACTTCACGGAGAAATTTATTGTATTCGACGACAAGTAACTGATTGTTATAATATTATTTTATAACTATTTAGATTCTGTACACTTTTATCAATCACGCAGACTGCGTGGATTTAACTGTCATTTTTCAGTTGAAATGATCATGCACACTGCTACCAACAATAAAGCTCTATTTAGAGGGAAACGAAACGCGTCCGAAATGCGAATCGCAGTCAGCGTCTGCAGTTAACAGTTCGCGTGTCTTAAACCTGACCAAGAGCTCATAGTGGTGGGAATAAAACAGGCGCGAAACTGTTACACTGCGTTATAATCTGTGTGTGTACACAAATAAATAATCAAAGTTAAAAACCTTACTCTCATTTCAATGAAAATCTACAATATTGCCGTTGACTAAAATTTATTAACTAAGAGTCTGACATCTAAGGTTTGGAATGTTTTCTTACATCATTATTTTTGCTTTTGTATACATTTAACTTGTAAGTAGTTGTCTCTTCTTTTTTACATGTTCTCATTAGATATATTGTTTATATTTAAGGTATCCTTTTGTACTCTAAAAAATGGACTTTACACCATCTTGTAAAAGGAGACGTACTGTCAAGCATGAAAAAAACATTCTTCTAGAATTGTACCCTCATGATTTACAAATGTACAAGGTACCACCAAAAGGTGAAATAAAACTGGTTGAGTTTCAAGATTTAACATTGGAAAGACAAAAAGGTTGATATATTAAATGGAACCCTAGAAATTCTTGATATCAATAAGATTTAAAACCATTTTTAATTTTTTAGTCCTACAGTTATTAGAAATAGCATTGGCTCAGCAACACAAGTCCTTGGATGAACTGAAGCAAGCATTTAGAAATTCTTTAAAAAAAGAAGGATTTCACCATTATGCTAGACTTATCACAGCTGAAGGGTGTAGTTCTCATAACGATATAGATTTAGAGGCCAGAAGAAAAGATCACATATCACATTTTGTGATGAGATTAGCATATTGTTTGAAAGCTGAACTACAACAAAAAATGCTTAGTCTGGAAACAGAATTGTTCAAATTGAGGTTTTCATCTTTGGATAAAGAAGGTCTTACACAGTTTTTGGCTACAAGTGGATTACACTATACTCCAGTAAAAAAAATCTTCAAAATTAAACTTGATATTAATTTTAAAAATCAATAAAAATTATCAATCAATATTTTCCATTAGGTATCTAAAGAATTCAAAGATGAAAACAGAGATAAGTTGATCACTTCGACAACTAAAGATGGAGATTTTGATAGCATTAATTTTTATGAAATGTCATTCCACGAAGTGAATGAATTGATTTGTGATAGAAGGGTTTTTGTTAAAAAAGGAATAGCATATGTTCCTCAAAAAGATCTCATTAGTGTATTTGTTCAACATTTCAAGAATAATCTGGCGACTGAACTCAATGTAAAAATAATATATATATATGGCTAAGATAAAATTTGAATATTCACTCAAAATATTATTTTAGATAGCCAAAAAATCTCTTATGGTAAATTTAGAAGATGATGATCGATTGCAAACATTTTTGAAAGCATTACCTGAATGTTATGCTGGCATGTCTAAAGTTGTATGGCAATCAGAAAATACACCAATTTCGAAATTGGATGATGTGAGATACTTTTTATAATTCTTTTTTAGGACTAGTGAAAAGCTTGTAATATTACATTTCAATTTCAGTTATCAAAAACATCATATCCTCTCTGTATGAGAGTAATGCATGAACATTTGAAAAGCACTCATCATTTGAGAAATACTGGGCGATTGCAGTATCAATTATTTCTCAAAGGCATTGGGGTATCTCTTGAAGATAATATTGAGTTTTGGAGAACTGAATTATGTAAAAATCCACAATTAACCGATGATAAATTCAGTAAAGAGTACCTGTATCAGATAAGATATAATTATGGTAAACTGGGTAGAAGAGTAGACTACAGACCTCATGGATGCAATAAATTGATACTTGATCCAGTTGGAGCAGGTGAAGTTCATGGCTGTCCTTATAAACACTGGGACGTAGATTCCTTGACAAAAAAATTAGCAGATTGCAAAATTGCACCATCAGGTACTTTTATTTTTAAATTATATTCAGAAAATACCTTATGATATTTTAATAAAAATTATTATTTATCAAAAGACATTGGAGAAATTACAAGGCTCTCAAAGGAAGGCCATTACATACTTGCATGCACAAAATTCTTTGAGTCATCGCATAAACAAATGCCAGGAAATATGTTCATGCATCCAAATGCTTACTATGCAGAAAGTCGTAAAATATTGAATAAAGATGAATTTAAAGGTAAATTGACTTTTACTGCAATTTATTTTTTGGTAAGGTATAATTCAGTCATGTTGTACTTGTGCACTTTAATTGTATGCAAAAGAAAGAATTATGTACTAATTGAACACAAATAAACAATTATATTCGAGTTTATTGTGTTCAATTTGTACACACTTTTTCCTTATACAAATAACATTGCACAACTATAATGTGCCCAAATGGTACCTTGCCTATTTTTTAATCAACTTTATTTAATTTTTACTAATATTTAGGTGATGAAACTGAAGCTTCAATGTTAACAGAGGACATGCTTGTGCCTATTTCCCCAGAAAAATTACCACCTCAACCCATGAAAAAAAATCAAAATATTCCAGAAACAAATAAATCGGTGACACCAAGAACTGCAGAAAAAAAGTTTAGATCTATTGATAGAAAGAATAAAATGGACCCTTTAAATATCGAGGCTTTGCTCAATGACGATAGTGATTGATTGTTAAAAAATATAAGAATTATCCGTAGATCGGATGATAGAATAGATGGGTAAATTTTGTAAAAAAAAAAACTAGCGTTCAAAAGAGCTTTATTTTTACTGTGCATCATTAAATGTAAAATTTACAATTTATTTTATTATAAGATATAGCTAAACATAACTGCTGATTTCCGATAAGCGTTGATACTTGGGAATAAAGTTTTCACTGACGTCTTGAATCATGCGGAGCACAAGCTTATCGATATCATATTCGTGTTGCCAACCCCAATCACGACGAGCTTCACTATCATCGAAAACTTGTGGCCAGGTATTAGCTGGAAATAATTTGAAAATATAGCGTTATGAGGAACCTTTTACCGATGCAAAATGTGGCATCGTTAAAAACTAATATAAAATTTTTATACTTTTTGAAATAAAAAAAAGTTTAACATGTAATCGAAATTTGAATTAAATTATTGATGAGGTTTAAAGTTTTACTTAATAAGAAATCATACCGATGTTTTGACGACTGTCAGGATTATAAGTGATATGAAGATCTGGAATATGTTTTTTAATCTCGGCAAATAGTTCCTCCGGAGTAAAGCTCATTGCTGTGACATTATATACTCTGCGACGCAGTTTATCTTCTGGAGCATTGAGGAATTGGAATAAAGCCTCCAAGCAATCGTCGATATACATCATGGGTAGTCTTGTTTCCGGCTCCAGATAACATTCGTATTTCTTATGGAGAAGGCCCTCGTGAAATACACTGACAGCGTAGTCTACGGAAAATTATTTTTAAATTTATGTTTGATTTAAAAGATTTTAATGCTATCATCCAACAAAATTTTTTTTGAAAACTTGTAAACATTGTAAGATTTTTTTCTGCGCAATATCACTCCAAACATCCAAGTATTAAGTAATCGAATGTAACAAAAATGAGTCTCCAATGCATAATTGTTTAATATTTTCATCGGATTTTCTGCAGAAAAATTAACAATTTCACTTTTAGACTATAAATTTTTTTTAGAAAAATTGCCCCATAAAATATCGTTTACGTCTGAGAGGTTTAAAAGATATAATCATCAAATTAATTAAAGGAAGTTATGAACTTTACTCATGTTACATGTAATGACGCTCTGCATTCTATCAAAACTGTGTGAATGAAAGCATGCGATATTATAATATAGTAGCGAGGCAAATTATTTCGTCACTACTCATGTAACGATCGCAATTTAAAAAATGTATACCTGTGGTACCACCACCCGGTGGATCGCTGCTTATAACTCCTGGAAAGCGCAAACAGCGAAAATCTAGACCGAATTTGTGATGGTAATATTCGCCGAGAAGCTCGGCGTGCACTTTGCTGACACCGTAAATAGTCCTGGGACGTTGGATGGTGACGTTTGGAGTTGGATTGCGTGGAGAATCCGGTCCGAACGCACCGATTGTCGACGGTACGAAAATTCTCAGATTATACTGTTTTGCCAGTTCAATTACATTATGCAGACCTGACGGAAAGAGTAATTAGTTTTCATTTTTTTTCTTTGCCGACTTAATTTTAAATGGTCCCTGTCTCGAGAGTAGTGTTTACTTTACGGTCGGCATTGCAATTGCGTGACTCGTCTAAATTAAGATGAAATTAAAAAGTGTGATTGTTTCATCATAGAGGTGTTGTATATTCGCGTATTTAAAGCGTTGCTACGGTGTCTATTATAATGTGAAAACTTTGTTCGAAAGAAAATAAGCATTGAAAGCAAAAGTACAATATGTGACACATGTGCCATATAATTATTTGCTTTCACTTCTGAAGACATTATGTAGTGCTAAGATTTTCGTGAAATCATAGTTTATGAAAATAAAGTAACAAGTTACTTTCCTTTAATTTTCATTTAATTATCGTGACGATTTTTACGAGGTTGAAGGAACTTATTATCTACAGAATTAATGTACAGTCGCGCAAAAACGTATAAAAAATTATTAAAGAATAAAATTCAAACGAAAACATACGGACTCACCTTCAATGTTCACTCTAACAGCCAAGGGAACATTTTGTTCGCCAATAGCACTGAGTAAAGCACTAAAATGTATGATCCAATCTATACTATTATTGACAACTATTTTTTGAAGACCTTTAAAATCCAATATATCCGCAAATATGAACGGTCCGCTCATTAGATTTTCATCGGATGGTTTGATTATGTCAGACAGAATAACATTTTCATCTCCATAATTTTTTCGTAGCAATTTAGCACATTCGGTACCCAGCTGACCGAGACCTCCTAATTTTTTACGACATAACATAAGTTATTATCGTTTCTTTTTTTACGAAAAATAATGTAATTTTTTAATTTTAATTTAAAGTAATTAATGTACCTGTGATGAGAATCCTTGGCGATTTGGAGTTTTTATCGTGAAATCTATTCAGTCCTGTGTTTGATGATGCAATAGACAATACATTTCCTGAGTGAATGGTCCTCTGGCAACTTTTCGTCAAGCTACCACTCAACGTTCTCCACAAGCCACGTCCTAACATCTTCCTCAGCCGTATCTATGAATAATAACTACAATATTAATAAGTACAAAAGTAATCTTGAATGTGGGATATTATTTTTATCCTTGCATTAAGCTTCACGTTACATGATATTTGTTTCAAATGCAAATTATGAAATCCAAGGTTGTTTTCAAATCCTGGTTTACCATATCAATTAACTTTTACTCGGAGCGTCGATTTCATGAATCTCGTGAATTTAAAAATATTTTTTAGATTTAATTGCAATGAAATTGTAAGATTCAATTGTTTACACGTATAAGCCACGGTACAATCTCATTGACTAACTATTGATTTATGCAAACGAATAGCGATTAACTTTTTGCATCGCTGTTTTGAACAACATCGTTCTTGCTTTATGCGCAAATAGATTTTTAAGAACTGATTCATTTTGAGGGAAAGGTTGAAAATTCTACACAAAACTAATTATTTCATTGAAAACTAATTGTTTCTCATAAGTCAAGTAAAATATAAAAGGTACATTACTTTGCCGATGGACTGAGCAATATATCCGCGCACGGGCAGTTTACAAATCACACTGACCGATCGGCACGGGTAGATGATCGATATATCTTCTTACACGCGCGTGCAGCGCTGTTGCCGCTGCAGCATTAATAATTATACCTGACTAATGTTACACCTGTAATTTTGACTGAAGCAAACCTGTCCTCCCGGGAATCTGGTTTGAAAGTTTCAGCGGCGAGCCTCCAGCGGCTTGGGCTAAAATTTCGAGTGTGGACGAAAGAATTTCGAGAGGTACCACATAAAGATTGCCTTTTTTTACAGGAGGCTTGCGTACTCACGACAGAGGAATATTTTTCTACGCACTCTGACTGGACGATTATTAGCGCCAGCATAGCTAGAAAAGAAATTGAACCGGTTTTATCAAAATTGTACGGACCAGGGTATTTTGAACTTTCTCTTATTTCGAAAACATGTTTGTACAAAAATATAATTTTATTCTTATATTTTGGCTGCGCGTTTCGAAAAAAAGTCACGTGCCCAGATCTGCCATTGTAAAAAGTATCCCTCGTCGATGCATTTGACGAAGAATGATCGGATCCGTTCGCCACGTCTAACCTGTTTTCTGACCTTGCAATCGTTCATTCAAACTTGTCTGGCGAGATGATGAAAGACTTGCATTAGAAAGACTATATCATTAGCGGTCAACAACGAAGGCTTCGTTCGGTTCCTAGAAGTTACTGATACACCTCTATTGCCAATACACCGATGTAGACGACAAGTTATCTCATAGAAAAGTTTGTAATATTCGCATTATTAATGCTCCTCGTTATTGGCGCTGTTCAACGAGTTCGATCGAATTGTTTAAGTAAACATCGAGATTCAATGGCGTCGGGAACAATTTGCCTAGAACAGGTTTACCTTCTTGGAAGTGATTTTCAATTTGATGCATAATAGTCGCATAATAGCATGACTTTCTAACAAACATATAGATGTCACATTTATAAAACCTACGTTTTTGACGAAAATTTCAATTGGTCAATTTTGATAAATCAAAGAAAAAATTGGACTTTTTTTTTCGTCATAATTTTATAGACAAATATTTTTAATAAATGAATGGAGTAGTAAGTCTGATTAATTAGTAATAATTGTCGCGTACGTCCACCTCTCCGATTCTCGCAAAATAGCTTAAATGGGCATTGCGCTCGGCGCACATGCACGCGCAGAGCATATACACACGGAGGCTCATCGTTCCGGTGTGCTGCTTCCGTAGACTGGCGTTTCATTCGTTCTGCTAACAATACGCAAAGCGAGGTCCGGGCAGTCAAGGAAAGAGAAAAGTAGTGGAGCCAGCCACGCCGTGTGCCCATGCACCAGTATTGTTGCTGCACGAGCATTGTACGCACCTTTGCGAGCCCATTCGTATCTCAAAGTAAGAAAAAAAGATGCTACCGCTCCAACGTTTTTCAAGACAGCCAAGTTCGATGTTTATGCGCGCTCAATTTCAGTGATTTTGCCGCTAGTGTACAATAGTTGAAATTTCTACCCGATAAAAAGATTGAGGTGATTCGATATCTACGCACCGATTTGAATCAAGTTACGTATCGGTCAATGAACGAGTTTGTTTACTTGCTCTCAGGGCGACGCGTCATTATGAGACAGGTGAGTTAACACTGCACCCCGATTTGAGGGGTTCGCATAACGATGTGATACATAAAGTATACGTATTTTCTGTAAAGAGTAAAAGAAGTTGTGTGGGGAGAAGGAAAGTAGGTACTTTTTTCTTGTATCCACCCCACTTTTTTCCACTACCTACGGTGCATCTCAATTAAAGAACAATAATTAGTGAAAAATTATGTAAGAAAAATGTATTTTCCACAATCCCCGAACTTTTTTCATTTTGCATTCAATAAAAATTTAATTTTATCGATTGAATTTTTTTCAAATTTTTCTCAAGAATCAATAATTTCATTATGAATTAAAAATGTCAGATTTCAAATCAAATCAAATATTCAGAATGGCTCATCCTTTGGTCTCATTATTGAGAACGCAGGTACACTCAAATGTTATAAAAATCTGCGAGTGAACTCGTACGTAAGTTCTGCCTGCAATATGAATCACTTTCACTCTTTTCTCAAGCTTACAGATTCTCCGCGGATAGTTACAGTGAATACATTTTCGGTGGTTATATTATCTCTCTGTCTTTCTCCCCTACTGCACTGATCCACGGAAGAAAGCTTTCTTTGCAGTTCGTTCAGCTCACTACCTACCGACATCTGATGGTTCTTTATCGTGAACCATTGACAAAGCCCAAGACGTAAAACTGGATTTCACTATTTGAATTTGATAATAACAAAAGTTACGCAAACCTTTCATCTTCCTTTTTTCTTATAATTTTATTGAGAAATTAGATTTTCAATTAATTTGTAAAATCTTTCCGTAAAATAGAAAATTTTACTGAAAAGATTCAGTGATCAAAATCGATATTTAAATGTAAAAACGTTCTACTTATATTACCTCCTACAGTTATTTTTGTTATCCATAGGATAAACTAGGGTACTAAACATATTTGCTAGATTATAATCCACGTATATGATTCCGCGAAGTCTTTCTTCTACGATCTACCGACTTTCGAGGACATTAAATAATTTTTTAGCTTGCTCTGTCTCTCCCGCAGTTTTCAAAAATTTTAATTTTTTTACAAAATATTATCAATAGCAGTTTCTTGAAATTCTACAATTATGATCAATTGCTGAATTTTATTATTATTTGACGTTATAAGGCCAGCCATATTTATTCTACATACTCATGTACTTACCTCACGCGTTTGCACACTTGAGAAGATCTATGCTATTGACCGGAAAAGTAGATTGATGTTGCGTTGCGATAAACGCATCGCGTACATAAAATTCGTACATCCTCCTCAGAAATATTTAAATAATTCATCTTGAATAAAACTAGCTGATGTTTATTTTTCTGTTTCGCCATTTTTTACTGGTCTGGCGAAAATCTCCGGCCTCTTTTCCTTTCGCGTTCGGCAAGTGCCTATGTTACGCAAGTTTCTTAAAAAATTAAAGTGCTTTCGATCTCAAACAATGGGCTCAATGCGGTTCATCATGTCCCTTTCGGGAAATCGAATCGAGAAATCGCTAAATCGAATGGATATTAGTGCATGTATCATGTCGAAAGGGAAATTGTGCTTTGTTCTCGAAAATCTTATCTTCTGCAGTGGCAAAAGGACGATTCATCCTACTGCCAAGAACCACATCGAATTGTTTCCTAAACATTACACAAGACTTACTGCGTGTAGTTGTTATGTTATATTGCGATACGAATGAGCGGCGCATTTTTTAGGGGATTTCCGCATTTTTAAAGCACCTCGAGCAAGTCATTATATTTTTTTTTATAAACGGATTTCACACTTTCTACGTTTGCGTGCGCCTTTTTGATGAACGTTTGCTTCGTGAAATAAGTCGCTCGAGCATCATAATTTTTATCATAAAAAAATTTTCTGTCTATAAACTGATTTTTGGCTGGTTACATATGGAAAAATCATTGAATGGCAATCAAAATCTCCTTAAGAAACGTTCAGAGCATTAAACTCAATGTTTGATTTCTTAATGAAGCATGGCATTAGAATGGGGAGGAACTTAGCAGGCACAGACGGTAATTATTGTAACTAGAATTGTCGTAGCGGTTACTCTATCATTGCCTTGCGGTACATATTATATGTAAGCACCCAGCGGTCAATTTTACCGACTTAGAGCGTGACGTTATATTTTCTGGGCTTGCATACGTCTTTCTGAACATTTTTACTTTGACCGTATAGTGTGCACTGATTATTTCGGTAAAGTATGTAGGTTTGAGTTTGTAATTCACGTTTTCTGACGCTGTTCCTAAGTTTGAGCCTCCAGTTAAAAATATTTATCAATAAAGTTTAAAATATTTATATTAATGAAAAAATAACTATCTTTGAATAAAATGGTATTTAGCATATTATAACAGAATTTTATCTATTTTCAGAAAAATAAAAAATGAACGAAAATGTATTTCTAATATCCGCTCCTATCAAATAGTCGTTTTAATTACCCTTCAGGTAAAAGCACATTTTACCTTGATGATGGCTTGTCTAATTAAGCTCTTGAATTGATTGGTAAATGCGCAGAAAAAAGAAAACACATCGTTACATTTTGATCGGAAGCAGCGTTACGTCATGCGTTACTCGATGCGAGCTCGTATGCATTGGATATAGATTTAATCAATTTCCTTTTGTCATATAATTGTAAATACTTAATTGAGCGTAAAGATAATCAAACTCGATTTGAACAAATACATGTTTAGCCACGATAAAATGATGGTAATTTATTAGCAGAAAATTTAAATTTTGGTATCTCATCGAAATGTAGAAATCATCGTTTTGAATCGGATTTTTTTATCCATGATCTAAACAAACGACGTCGTTATAGTTTAAATATTTCGCCATACGAATTGTATTTAATTTCATTCATTTTAAAAACATGAGCAACAATTAACTGTTAAATTGTAATCCACCACGCTTACGTAAGCACGCACAGAAGTGTTGTTTTTACAACATATGAATGTATACAAAGTACCGTTTACCTACCTACATAGCCCCACAATGTGACACCTCATATATGCCATTTATTATAGCTATTGTCTAGCTTACATCTTCGTTGTAACTGACTTTGAATTGGATTAAGCTGTGGGACAATTTTATTCATAAGTGTAGTTGGTCTTACTTAGGACCGAATATTGCCAAAATTAGTCAAGAAGGCGGAGAGTTTTTAAAAACAATGATTTGCCCAGGAAATGTAGCAGCAAACATCAGTGTGGCCAAGTCACGCACCTTTTACACAGTGATGCACGATGGGTAAGCTGCCAGCACCAGCTGGAGGTGGAGGTTCGATTTCGGTCGCGTCAATCCTGTTACTATCCTTATGGTTGACATTTGGATTAGCTCAGGAATATGGATGTCCACCTCAAGATAAGATACTCCCATGCCGATGTTCTACCAGGGACATGGAATTCCAAATATGGTGAGTATATTGTAACGCATTTTTTTTCGGCGTTTCCACTGAACTGTGTAATTTTCGCGTGCTTCAGGTGCAGTCACAGCGAACTACCACGCGTCCTGGAGGGTCTAAAGGCAGTAAGTCGTCACGTGAGCCATCCCGTAGATGAGCTCATTCTCGAGAATAACAATTTACCCAGTCTACCGGGACACGTATTCGCAAGTCTTCGGGTTCTGAGATTGATGCTGCGAAACAATCGTCTGGAGCGGGTTTCGTCGGGCTGGCTTGAAGGGCTTCAAGATTCATTGCTGGAGCTTTTTTTAGTCGAGCCCGATCTTCGATCGTTGCCAGTCGATAGTTTGGAAAATCTTCAAGGCATGGAAGCTGTTACGTTGCAGAGCAAAGTTATGAAAAGACTTCCAAGTTTCACTGGTAAATACAAATAATTATACATGAAAAGCTTAAACATTAGATACCTATGATAATGGAATTATTTTTTATTAAAATCTTGTGTGCAGGCTTGTCAAAACTACGTTATCTGCAGATAAATTCGCCAAGTTTGATCGAACTGACTCCCCGTAATTTTCGCGATTTACCGAGTCTCGAGCAATTTCACGTTTTTGGCAGTCCAAAACTTGGTCGTCTCGAGGCTGCCTTTCTGAGAGATTTGCCACGATTACAGTTAGTAAATATCAGCGACTGTGGCATACATTGGTTACACCCACGAACCTTCATTAATTTGCCAGAGCTAAGAGAAATAGCTCTAGTTGGCAATGAGATTCAAGATGCTATGATGGTTGGGAAAGCTTTGGTAGATTTACCTGCTCTTTCGGTGCTGCAATTAGACAAGAATAAAATTCTGAGATTGGGAGAAGGTTCTTTTGTCGACTTACCAATGATTACGAGAATAAGTGTCAGTAATAATCGAATAACTGAAATATTTCCAAGTAAGTAGATTTTACATATTGTTTAATATGATTCTGAATTTTTACCGATGAAACATTTAACAATTCAAGGCGCTTTTCAACGCTTACCGCTTTTGCGCACGCTCAATCTCAATCATAATCGAATACACCGCATCCATCCAGATTTCTTTCCTCAGCGTAATCGCGATGGAAATGGTCTCGAAGAAATTTGGCTGATGGATAACGACATAGGGCATGTATCTGAGATACGTTCGATTCTTGAAGCCCTGCCTCGATTGAAATTTTTAGAAGCCAGTTATAATCAAATACAAGAAATTCCATTTGGTTCTTTGCGCGGGCATTCGAGCTTGGAGCGACTGCATCTCGATTACAATAGATTAAGCTTTTTGCAAAGAGACGTTTTCATCGATATGCCGGCCTTGAGAGAATTGAGATTGAGAAATAATTCCTTGACCAATGCACCTGACACGCCTTTTTGGAATTTGCCGGCTCTCAAGGTACGCCAAGCGTCAGTTTTGGCATTAAATTTCACAAAAATATAAACTCAAACGAACTTTTTCCTCCAGGGTTTGGATATATCTGGTAATTTTTTCCGACATATCGAGCCTCGTTTGTTGACAAATTTGCCGAGTTTGCGTCGTTTGGATATCAGTGAAAATACAGTAGCTCTAGTAGAGCCAGATGCTTTCTTGAACACGCCGGGTTTGGAGCATATAAACATGTCAGGAAATTCCCTATCTGTGCTTCATCCTATGACGTTCCGGCATTTGACCAATTTATACGAATTGGATTTAGGCTGGAATCGTCTGCTTGAAATAATTCCAGGTAAGAGGTTTAACCATTTACATATAATTCAAATGAATACAAATTCGTTCCATTTTATGTTGGTTTACTTAAAACACGATTAAGTTTGTCTGAAATTACTGAATGAAAAATTTGCATAAAAATTTTTTTTCATTCTACGTAAATAGTATTTTTACTCGTGTATAATTACAGGACTACCTCGAAATATTGAACATCTTCACTTGCCGATGAATCGAATAATCGCCCTTCCGCCGGCACGGGATTCCGACTCTTTGGTCTTACCGCAACTTCGGTCGTTAGATTTGAGTGCAAATGGAATCGAGCACATTCAACCTGGAACTCTGGTTGGTCTGCCCAACTTACGTAGGCTTAATCTTGGTTTTAACGCTCTGACAATCATCGAAGAGGGAGGTTTCGACGGGCTCGACAGACTGGAACAATTGGATTTAAAGTACAACCGAATAGGTCTATTGCAAGCAAGATGTTTCAGACCTCTCAGAAATTTGCTGGACTTGAGCTTAAGGGGCAACAGATTGGAGATGATCAGACCGGACGTTTTCGAAGATAACGGTCGACTGCAACGATTGGATATAAGTAGAAATAATCTCGCTCAAATTCCTCATGCAACTTTTGCCTTCACCAGGTAGGTCGACAATAATGTTTCCTTTTCATTATCTAACGAAGCATACAGGACAAAAGCTACGAAAAAGCACTTTTCTGAAAAGAGAAAAAAAGTACATTTTTTTCGCCACTTACATGGCGTTGCGTAATATTTCTTAGCTTACGTTTTTGTAGCATGTACCGCTGAATCCGCGCGCACGGTGAACAGTCGCGAGTACGCGAAAGGAAAGTTCGTGGCTTCGAGATCACGTTAATGACTGCGGCGTGTGTCGCACGCGCGCAATCATCGCCACCACAGCGTGTCGGCTAACAATTTAAAAATATACTCCTTGCCCGTACGCTCGTTAGCACTCGCGCGGAACGATGTCTTGGCCGCCGTTTATATACACAATATCGTCGCATAAGAATACTCGATTCTCGGCAGTTATTGTTTTGAAAAGCTTTCGTCATCTATTTGTACGAGAAGAGCTTTGTCGACGAGCAATTTAAATATTGTCCTCGGCCAATTATTCGCACGCTGAATGTCCCGCAGAGAATTGCGGGAACTTTACGCCTCCTACAACGGACTCGCCGAGCTACCGAATTCCTTGCACAATCTCGAGGCGCTCCAGATTCTCGATTTGAGCTTCAACCAATTGACGAATTTATCTCCCGCTACGCTGAGCAGCTTGACAAATCTCATCGAGCTCCGACTCGTGCGCAACAGGGTGCGAGAATTGCTCGAGGGAGCCTTCGACAGGCTACCTCGATTGGCGCTCATCGACCTGGAGAGCAACGACCTCTCTCTGGTCGAAAGAAGTGCCGTAAGATCGCTGCCAGAGCTGCAAGCCATTAGGCTGGGAAAAAATAGAATCCAAGTGAGCTGAACAATTATCTTTACGCGGCTATTTTCGATGCACAACTGGAGCTGTCTCGGCTATTGTTTGCTCTTCTCTTTGCAGGTGATACCAAGCGGAGCATTTTCGGAACTGCCAATGTTACAGAGCGTCGAGCTGCAAGAAAACCGAATTCAGGAAATCGCCGAGAATGCTTTCATCAACGTTCCTCATCTTCTTGTGCTTAATCTCAGCCAAAATCTTCTGACCAGCCTCGAGCATATGGGTCTTGAAAGCCTAAGATCGTTGGAGGTACTCGATCTCAGCGAAAACCGAATTACTCGAGTTTCCAGCAAGAGTCTAGCAGCCATGGAGTGGCTCGTAGAATTGAAGGTACTTTTTAATCTCTCGATTCATTCGTGAATTACGCTCGCAGGCCAGAATCTATTGCCTCACCCGCGATTCTGCTGCGCGTGCTGCATACGTAAATATGAAGGAAAAAATATCGCTAGCAACGCGCCCGGAGCTCGCGCAACAGCAGAATTTGCATACGGTACGAATCGTGAACAAAGCTCGTACGTATCCGTCATGCTTCGAGCGCGCGCACTTTCTCGACGAAAGTGAAATCACGATGAAGGTAGGTAGGTAGTGCAGCCCGCGCAGATGAGCTGGTGTATAGGTCCACCTACTTCATTATTACTTCGTTGCATCTCATTTGTCGGCAGTCAGAGCGTGACCGCTGTAACCAAAGCTGCCGCTTTGCATTTTTTCTTCTTCTTCCATTCGCTCCACTTTACTTACGCACACGTCTCTCATCCTATTTGCAGATGGATAACAATAAAATTTGTACCATTCAAGGCTCGCCCTTCGACGACATGCCCCGATTGCGCGTGTTGAGCTTGAGAAGCAACAGGATGGCTTCGGTCTCCGAGAGCGCCTTCAAACGCCTGCGTTCCAACATCGCTGTGCTCGACATCGACGGTTCGAATTTATAAATAATAATAACGATAATAATTCAATAACTTGATCGTGTAAACAAATGAGCCTGGCAATTTCCGTACATAGGTAATCCTTTGTCCTGCTCATGCGGCATGCTCTGGTTACGGGGCTGGCTGCAGCAAGCCTCTTCGGAAGGTCCTCGCTGCGCCGACGGCTCCTTGTTCAAGGAAATTCGACTGTCGCAGCAAGATTGTCAACGAGAACGTCGACTCGAGCCCGTTTTTCCAGGCTGCGAAAATGAGGCGCTCGGCACGAATCCTGGCTCGATCACGCCCTATGGTAATTCGATGCTCGCTTTGAATTAAGCGCGCTTTTAAATAAACTTTATGATTAATTTTATCGCAGTTCAAAATACCGAACCTCAGGCATCGTGGAATAAAAATACTCCATCGCGAGTGCCCGGTCAAGACGCCAACTATCTCTACGACGACTACGACGAGGATTCGGAGACCGAAACGAGCGCCGATTTAAGCAACGCGATAAACGGTAGTTTGTCGACCGCACTAGCTCCAGCACCGATGCTTACGCAATCGGCCCCGCCAATGAGTAATGAAGCACCCAAAGATCCAAGTTCATCCAACATCAAGAACAATAGCGGGCAGAACAACAGCAATAAAATCAATGGGAGTATTAAAAAAAATCCAGTAATACCACCATCTCCTAGCAGTTCCGGCTTCACTTTCTTCGGTGTTCCTCTTCCAAATTTGAGTTTTAATTTGTGGGGTAAATGAAATTTTCTATAGTTATTAAAGTTTTACTGAAACATTTTTTAGCAAAATTTCAATTAAAAATTTCGACAAGTTTTAAAAACTCATTAGCAATAAACGAAGAGAAATTTTTTTTTAATTGTTTTTTTTTAGCTCCACTATTAACATTTTTTCTTATCAACTTTTTGTATCAAGGTAATTCTGGAAAAAAGTCGGAGCGTAAAGATGATGGTATTGCAATATCTTCATCGTCGCAATCTTCCTCATCCTCATATTTACGTCCAGGCAGAGGACGATACAGAAATTTTCCTCCAACTGAACCAGAAATTCATAGAGGTGGTTTTGTACCGATGCCCCGAGGCCATAGTGGCTTTGTACCAATTACCAATCCTCGGTTGGAACAGCAAAATAATAATGGAAGTAACCATAATACAGATCAAGAAACTACTGGTCAGTTAGTTCATGAGCGCCAAAGTATAAAATTTTCTAATTATAGTATTGGTAAAGTTGAACGAACGGCTCCTCTTGTTAATCACACAAGTAAGTCAATACTTATAAATTTATCCAAAGAGCGTATAAAGTATTTATAAATTCATTGACCTTTCTAGCTTCTAGAAATAGCAACCATTCACATATTGCGGATCCTGCGAAATCCAACAATACATTGAAACTACCGACAACTTTGGCTCAGCAGAAACAATATTATAGAACAAGTACCACACTAAGAACCACAACGACTACTGAAGACGAAAACGAAACGCCAACTGAAAGTTATGAATTCGATGAAGAAAGTGGGAGTAGTCGAGTAACATGGAATATTTCTGAACCAAAAAATCAGGTAATGAAAGGTGCCACCAAAGGCACCGTTAGTGCTGTCGTGGAGGTAATGGACTCTGAAAGTAAAAATCACGATGCAAATAATGTCTTTAATAAAACATACGAAGAATTGAATATAGAAAGAGATACTACAATGATTAATTCCATGGTAACGAGTGAACCAGAACCTGAAATTATTACTACTGGTCAGTAACTAAAATGAAAACTGACATTTGATTATTAAATTAACTTGAATCATAGTTTGGACATTGATTTTATTTTCAATAATCGTAATTTTCAGATATTATTCATACGATGCAAGATATAGCAATGGATCAAAGCTTGTATCGAGTAACACCTCGAAATCAACAACAACCAACTGTTACTCAACAAATCAGTCGAAATATGGAAGCCTCTGCTCTATCAGCTCTTTTAGCACCTAACGGTCAAGTTCCATCGGTACCATTAGTTTATAGTAACACAAGGCCTTTGGGACGTCCGACAATTACAAAAGTTGCTTCGCCTTATCTCGACAACAATGGTGATAAAATTCAAGAACAAGTTGAACAGTTGCTAGCCAAAGAAGATAGTCATTTGAGTGGATCGTCGGTCGATGAAACTGTCAAAGCTGTCGAAGATGCAGATTTCAATTGGTACTTTCAACATTACAATGATACAGATTTGGAACCATTCGTAGGGGTGGTTTATGGAAACACGGTACCTTCGAAAGCTGCGGAAATAAACTTAGCCGTTGGATTATTAGTCACGAGTTTCATGCGATTTATTCTGTAAAAATTGCCACTCAAGATATGAATTTATTGTAAATTTTCATGCTTTTATAAATAATGATCTCTACGTATCTATTTTTAAAATGCATATTAAAAGATGAATGCAATTCAATTCGGAAACAAAGATAAGCGCAGAATTCGACGTGAGTTCAGTGGCACAAACTTACTTTTATCCGTGAACTATTTTATTCGAAGCAACTTTAATTGGCAATCAATTTTACGATATTACACGCTAATTTTATTTATTTCAATGTAGGCACAAATTGTACAAGATGCCGTTAAATAATATCTATTTTGAAATTAATAACAATAAATAGGTGAAAATACACTTTGTTAATAATTGTAATATAAATATCGATACATTATGAAATATTTAGTTGATTTTTAAATCATAAATTATTCATCCCAAATATCAACAGATCATTAAGTTTACTTTTGTTTGCATTAAAGGACTTATGTTGAAATTGTCTATAAGATTAAATACCAAAAGAGTCTCTTCAATATTAGAATACCATAGATTTATCATTTATATTTAGCACTGAATTATTGTTTTAATGTAAAAATGTATGAAATGAAGACAGTAAAAGATAAATAAATATTGTAATTTTTTTATTATTTAAGGATTTTATGTTAATAAGTCTAACTTTGAAGATTATAGGAGAGCAGTTCAATGGATAGCTTTTACGACGGAAAGAAATGAAAATGTAAGTCTTAGTGTCTGGAATATATAAAATAGAAGGCTGTCAGTTATATAGAAATTCTCAAAGCATCAAAATTGTTATGATTATTACTTACAGTGGTTAAAAATTCATGATTTATGATACTCAGTTTAGCAAATTTCAATTTTGTACCTTGGCTTGTTTTCATTCCAATGAAAAGCATTTCTTTAATCTTGCTAGTTTGTATTTCTATTTCAAAATTACTATGTACATCGTCCCAGATTTGTTCACTCTAGAAATCATTGAAAAGAAAATAATGGTTGTATTGAAAATTTTTCTTGTGGTAAGCACCTGATTTGCAATATAATTTCCAATGCAACAAAAATAACAAAGGCTGACAAAAGAAGAAAAAACGGTAGATATACTTTGAAATAAACTGACTGATTCATCAACTTCCAAAGCCTATAAAAAAAATTATATGTATAAAAATTTGATTATGCCCAATTTTATTATGATACACTTACGTAAATTAAAGTGTATCCGCACGAAACCAACGCAGTTATATTAAAAACAAAATGAAAAAATAATATCCACTCAAATAAATCTTGTACATTATTAAAAAAAAGTAGAAAATTTTGATGTTTGTACCAAAATTGGGCCAAATAGAATTTATTTGACCTATTATTCTTACATAACAATTTTTTTATTTCGTGGCGAGTTGTATTTATTTTCGTTACTGCATGCAGTATCTGAATATTTAAAATTTTTTAGTAAAAAAAAAAGTTTGATGGGTAACAATTAAAAATTCACCATGAATATGAATAATCCTTCAGTGGTAGAGTGGCAAATACAGTTGATCGATATTGCAATTAGTTGCAAGAAACATACTATTATATGCGATAATTTATCGCCAATTGCATAATTCCATCCTGTATAAAGTTCCTGATCAATAATTTCAGATTTCCAAATGTGAATATACAATGTTCTGGAATACATAGCAAAACTACCAGAACTATATGCAACCCAAATAAATTGATTAATCAGTTTTGCGCGAGACAAATTCAAATCCATTTTTCCAAATTCTCTTGTTTCTTCATCAGTTACATCTTGATTTACTTGATTAATGATGAATTCTAAAGTTCTGTATTTAATAGGAACAGACAGTAGAGAACTAACTTAAATACTTAAAAATATTAAAAATGATTTTATATTTCTACCTTCGTTTTTTTTTCAGTATCATAAGCTTTATTAATCCTAAGGCCAAAGCGGATGTAAGCAATAAATTTTCCATTAATGAATTAATATTGTGGTAAATAGAGATCATGTTCCAAACTTGAAGGAAGAGTGAAGTAAAATTCCAAATGAGAGCTATATAAAGTACAGCTGATGTTTTTGTTCTTGGCCATGATCCAATAAGTTTTAATATTTTTTCTTGGTACCAAAAAAATGCACTAGACTTTAGATAATTTTCATGACTAATAAATAAATTGTTAAGTCTTGGAATTGCGAAACTCATTCTTGATGTATTTTATATAAAAATAGCAGTGAATATATTTTATTTTATAGGCTATTTATACTTGAATTTTGAAATAATAAACTTTTATTAAGACTACTGAACGACTTGAGTAGAATCTAGTAGGTAATGATCAATTGGTCATTAGAAAACATCAATGGTCATTAGCTGTCAATTATTAACTTAATGTACCTTTTACATTTTTAATGAAAATAGGATGTAGGTCGATTCTTCCAATTAGTATGTCGGGTATAAAGTGAGTGTAATAATCATGAATTTCATATCATGAAATATATTACTTATATTTAGGAAAATATTTTTGTTGAAATTTTAAGGATACCAAAATACTACTAAACAGCTTATACACTGTATCTTAAGAAATTTTTCTGAATTTTCAAAAAAAAATTATTTATGTAAACTTCAAGATTTAATGTACTTGAATATATTATTTATTATAAAAACAAAAATGCACCTGTTATTGAAATTATAGTCTAATTTAGTCAAACAGGTTCATTAAAACTTAAGTTTTGTATATAGCAGAGAATTGTTAACAATCACATTTCTTGAAAATACACATTAAACTTCTTTACTAATGCAGCAAAAATTGTTTTATGTTAGAAAACGAAATTCTCTTATTATAATATATTATGAGGAAAATGAATCTTACAGAATATTTTTTGTGTGGCAAAATTCTTAAAATAAATCATCAAATATGTGGAGGTAAAACGTAGCACCCTATACTTTTGCTTTAATAGAGTGCTTTAATAACACAGTTTTTTTCATGGAACAACGATGATTTTACAGAAATTGCGCTGTTCAGTTTTACATCCAGTCAATTTGCACAGTAGCTGTTATAGGAGTCTTTAGTGTAGTGTTAATCATGTGAAAACTGGACATAAAAAATATATTATAATATTTCACTTCACTTTTTGACTTTTTCTTTTTCCTTTTCCTTTTCTTTTTCTTTCTCATCCTTTTTTTCTTCATCTTTCTTTTCTTCTTTTTTTGTTTCCTTCTTATCGGTTTCTTTTTTTTCTGCATCCCGATTGGTCAGTTTGTTATTAATCAAGTTATGTAAGGCTATGATGGACCTAACTAAAGCAGCCAAATATACTACCAGCATTTGATCATTTGTTTTGATATATAACGAATCAACAAATGTATTTTGTGACATGTCAGGCAATAAATTAAAAATGTCTTGCAATTGATAGATAATTTGATGATTGATAGGTAATTTTCCATCACCAACCTAAATAATAACATAAAAATACCGTTAATTATATTTTGACAAGATGACAAGAAAATAAAAATAAGCATACCTTTGATAGGTAATTTTTTATTTCTTCAATTTGTGCATGTAATCCTTTTAATCCTAATAATTGATTTGTTATTCTTTGGCTCAAGGTGCCTACTGTTGTATCTTTGATATCTCTGAGTAGATGTTCAACACCTACTTCTTCTGCTTCTTCAGCTCCAATTTCACTAGGGATGTGTTCAAATGTTTTAGATGTTGGTGAGCCATCCTAAATGAGGGTATTTTTGATTTTTAATAACATTATTTTACAAGCATACAACTTATATTGCTTTAATACTAACATCATGAACTTCTTCTACAGCTTGATAAGCTTCGGTTGGTAGTCCCAAATCTTTTGGCTTTGCATCAATGATAATAAGTACTGAGTTTGGACAATACCTTCTGATCAATTCATTAATTGCCACATCATTTTGATGCAGTTTTGGTCCAGTATGGTACCATCCAACTACTTTTTCTCTCGCTAAATAATTGATTTGAAAAAAAGGATAATAATTATCAATAAACTTTAATCAAAAATTTAATTTAACACATATTTATATATCATACCATTAACTTTCTTGAACATTCCATACATATTTTCAAGGTAATCATGATCCAAAAACCAGACTGATTTGTCTCTGTCATCTTCATCGAAGGGAACTGTACGTAAATAAGAAAACACTCTGATTTTATATTGTCTCACATAAAATTGACAATGAAATTAAAAATTCAACTTACTACAAAGAAAATTGTTTCAATACTATTCTTTTTTTTTAAATATATTATGAAAGTGAGTCTGAATTGAAACTAACCTGCAAAACTATTGGATACATCAAGAACGCCTTTACCCCGCCAGCAACCAAGCAATACACCAACAACTCTTTTTTGGTTACCAATTTTACCCATGCGATTGAAATGGTCAACCACACTGAGTAAAACCAGCGGGTGCACGACAACTTTGGTTGTCACTACTTCTTGACTCGGCATTTTTGAATGAATCTCAACACCACGGTCTGCACTTGGTGTAAATATACGAAGTTTATATATCTATGTTATGCGCTGACTGCCTGGCTCAGTCGTCGTTGGTATACACACACATACATGACGTTCTATATACATTCAATACCAGTACGGAATACGCCAATGGTAAATTAGTTGAGGAAATTTGCAGCACTTCTATTCGCCGCATACAAATAATCGCATCGGATTTTAAGGCGCTGCCCTTTACATAAATTCAAATATTAACAAGATTTCAAGTAGAGAGGTAAACTATTATTATTTGTAATACAAAACATTGATTTTAATTGTTAAGTCAATTATTTTTACTTAGATTTTGTACATTTTTTCTCGGTTATTAAAAAAAAATGTATACAATTAAAAAATTTTAAAATGAAATAAAATTTATCAGCTTTGAGAAAATAATAAAAAATTATTAAAAGATGAGTTGGCATTGGGTTTTTCGTTTTGTAAGTGTTAAAATATCATAAAAGCATTCAAGTGCACGGCGCCGACATTTAAAGAAGACAGGAGATACGAGATATAAAATTTTCTCAATTGTCTTTTCGATCATTGCCACCTTCACCATATATATCTATACGCATAATGTATACATGTATACATGCTACTTTTAAAATATATATTACAGAGAGCGGAGTAACGCTTTGAAGCGAGCCAGTATCGTCAGTTCTAATGCATCTGCCGCAGCACGCTGTCCACAGATTAGACTCAGTAAAAGTTGGATGAGTTCGAGTACTTGGCCAGTATAACAAATAATCTCGTTAGTAAGAGAAAGAGAGAAAAAGAGAGAGCACCATCGAATCGAACAACGCAGTGCTGACGTTGGCAAGATTGTTTTGATTAACACGCTACCGAGTGTGTCTTCACATTTTCTCATTCATGAGTCTTATACGAGGATTTTGCAGGTATTTATTATATTTCAATTCTTTTTTATCTCGTATTATGACGATTTGCATGTCATTGCTTTCAACAATCTCAATTATGCTATCATAAGGCTAAGTCTAAGTGCGAGTGGGATGATTTGTGCTATATGTATAGATATGTATTTACAAGCCGAACTTAGGCTGCTGCTTCAGTCGACGAGTCACGTGGTTTGAACAGTCATGCCAATTGTGGCGGCAAAATTTGAATTCATTTATTTTCGACTAATGCTGGACATGTTTTATTAAACTCAAAAAAACCGCTCATGACTTATACGTTATAGATAGATTTTAGAGTGGAATATTGGAGAATTGAATTGTTGTAAGATTAATTACTCACTATCAACGATTGGAGACGCATATTGCAAAATCTACTTTCTTAACTGACAAGTATAATTAATTATATTTTCATAAAAAGAATTATCAACAATGTATTCTGCTAGTATAGTTGCAAGAGAGTTGAGTTTAGATTTAATTTTTAATTTTATTTTGTGATCATTAAAAAACTTGAAATATTTTGATGTATTGTATTGATGTATTAAAATATTGTGATCAGTATACAATATCGTATTCAATTTTGTATTCAGAGGAGTAAGCATAAACAATATTTTAAACTATATAATGAAATATATCATAAATATGCTGATCGAATGCTGACAGTAATGTATGACTTATCAAAACGTAATGGGTCTTCCACGGGTAAAGTTTGTAATTTCAGCAGTTTCTCCCATACTTCGAGAAATAATATCTCAGCTCAAAGCCTTTCACGTTCAGTTGAATTTTATATCAACTCACGAAAATTGATCGAGATAACTTTTTAGAATTTTTAGTCGCCATCGTGTAACAGTGTGTTAAATTACGTCATGTATTATTTATTCAATAACGTTTTTCTCAATTAACCCATTAAGTCCCAAGAGGACGTTTTTTCAACACTTTATTCGGCCACTATATTTTTGGTGTAAATGGGGTCAAAAAAATATGCGAGTAACTAATTCTAATGTAAAATTTAATGCCCTTTCAGAATCTGATCTCAGATTTTTGAAAAAGTGATCAGGTCAAAAGTTACACTTGATTTTACCCAAAAAAACATGATTTTTAAAAAAAATTTTTTTTTATTTTTCGAATTTCCAAATGAAAACCATTTGAAATCTCAAGAGTTTCGTGCAAATATCGCGTCCTCGATATCTAAATTGAAAGTTAGCGGGGTACCGATTGAAAAAATTAATGTTTAAACAGAAAAAATGTCGGTCGAAACTAGCAAAATTAAATGAAAACTTATAGAATTTTTACTCAAAAACGAAGGACTTGAGAAAAAAGTGTATTTTTTAACTTTATTTTCTTCAATCTAAACCCCACTAACTTTTAGTTTAGGTATCGAGGACGCGATATTTGCACGATACCCCTAAGATTTCTAATGGTTTTCATTTGGAAATTCGAAAAATAAAAAAAAATTTTTTTTAAAAATCATGTTTTTTTGGGTAAAATCAAGTGTAACTTTTGACCTGATCACTTTTTCAAAAATCTGAGATCAGATTCTGAAAGGGCATTAAATTTTACATTAGAATTAGTTACTCGCATATTTTTTTGACCCCATTTACACCAAAAATACAGTGGCCGAATGAAGTGTTGAAAAAACGTCCTCTTGGGACTTAATGGGTTAAAGCTATCTCGTAAGTTAACCATAATTTTATGTAAAATAAATGTTTTTAGGATGTCTCAGCCCATAACATTCGTAACGGGAAATGCGAAAAAACTTGAAGAGTTTGTCGCTATAATGGGCCAAAATTTTCCCCAAGAAGTGATAAGTAGGAATATTGATTTGCCGGAGTATCAGGGTGAAATCGACCTGATATGCGAAAAAAAAGCAAGAACGGCATTTGATATAATTGGAGGACCAGTCATAATTGAAGACACTTGTTTGTGTTTTGATGCTCTTCAAGGTCTCCCAGGACCTTATATCAAATGGTTCTTAGATAAACTTGGACCCGAAAAATTGCATCGCATGCTCGTAGGATTTGAAGATAAAGGCGCCGAAGCTATTTGTACATTTGCGTATTGTAAAGATAAAAAGGATGATGTTATATTATTCCAAGGTAATTAGATAAAATTTAATTGAATAGTTTTAAGTTATACGATTTAACTTATCGCAACTGTTTTTTTACAGGAAAAACAAGAGGAACAATTGTTCCACCTAGCGCAAAAGCAGATGCATTTGGTTGGGATCCAATTTTTCTTCCAGAAGGTTATGATAAGACTTACGCCGAATTGCCAAAAACAGTGAAAAATCAAATTTCGCATAGAAGTAGAGCCTTAGCAGAATTGAAAAAATATTTTTTAAAAGGAAAAAATAATAATGCATGAAATAAAAAATTCTACTAGGGCATTAATGACAAATTAATTTTGACTTTACTATTGTTGGGGAATTAGTAAATTTTAACTTATTTGATTTTAAATTTTAATTATACCTAAAAAAAGTTTTAAGTAGAAATTTCTAGGTCATTGAAAGTGACTTACTTATGCGAGAGAAAAACAAATTTGAATCTTTTCAACAATCTTTTTTATCTCATTTATTCAAGAAAATTAAAGACCTATTGAAATCAAAAATTCAATGTGTCTGCTGTCTTGTGTATTTTAGTAAAATAGTAAATTCGTGGAAACAAGACAATTGTATAACCCGTGTATTTTACGCTTTATTTGGTATTTTTACTCAAAGTTAAGAGAATATCTTTCAGAATACTCAATAAACCGAATAGAACCTTGAATATTATATTTTTTTACGAAATAATGAGTAAAATATCATTAACCAACGCTTAGCGGAATTTAAAAGAATAAAGTAACAATTAAATTGTTCTTGTACATGTGGGAGTATGTGTCATAAACAAGGAACTTATGTAGAAAATTGCATATACACGTATATGTTTAAATGAATTTATATGTAAAGTGATCGTAATAGACTGTTTAAGAAGTTATAATGAATGGAAATATTTTGACTTTTTTAAATTTAAAAAGGCATGGATAGTTTAATCTTGTCAATGTGAAGATAATTTATTATGTATCTTGATGTAATTTTTGGGCCTTTTAATTTAAAAATAAATAATAAATACTAAATTGGAACATATATTTTGCATTTGTTTATATCTTTAAATAAATCTGTAGAGTTCTAAGGAAATATAACAGTGTTCAACGTTTATAAATATTATCTTAGCTTGAAGCCTTTAAACGGTAAAAATTAAAAAAAAAAATCCCCTTTCACATAATTTTGTTGGGAAGCTGTATCATTAAATTTTATATGATTTATTTAGGTTTCAATTAATTTTTATTGTTTTAATTATCAAAAATTAAAATTAAAATTCTAATTGTGGATATTAAAAATTAGAATTGGTAAGTTTTCATGTTATACCAGAATTCGACAGTTAAGCGGTACGGCTACTATAAAAGTTTTTTTAATTTTTTTTAGTTGTAAAATACTATCAAATGAAATTTACTTAAATTTTACTTATCTTCTAAAACAATGAAATATTCTACCTCTGAACGTGCGAAAATACAATTTCCAGCCGTTAATCAGTTTTTCTGAAGAAAGTTTTTTTAAGGAACTTTTAAAGTAACTTTATTTTTCGTTTGAAGCATTGAATTAACTAAATCAGTATCGATTTATTGCTCGATTTTCTAATTTGAAAACTATATTATTAACATGAATTTTTATTATTTATTCGGGAAACATTTTTTAGTTTGACAGAACGCTCTTAAGAATAATAAATCCATTAAAGTTCACAGTAAAAATTCTATTATTTTTTATTTATATTAAATGACTAATTGAATTTTTTAAGAAACTAAATTGAAATGCTATTTATTTTAATAAAATTGAAGAAACATATCGCAGAGCATATCTTTTATTATGACATAACCGTCTGTTTATTAATAATCTCTGCACTAAGTCGGGAACATTCGCAATGAACATATCAGTTGTTTTTCTTATTTGAAATGAGAGATCAGTAAACTTCTATCATATTCGGCTTACATGGTATATTTAATAAGAAATCTTTTCTCTCGATAAAATACTTATATGTTATAACGCTGTTTCATTCTTCCGAGTACAGAAAAAAAATTTAAATAAAATGTGGAAGAATTAAAGTTTTCAGATTTTGTAATTTTATTAATTTTAGACTATGAATGAACTTGAAAAATGATTTTTTTTCTTTTAAATCCCTCGTGTAAATTTATTTAGTAAAAAAATCCGATAACAGCTCTTGATGAAATGTTGTGTCCTGTTTAAATAGTAAGACATTTGGCAGCGTCATGTATCATTTGACAACTTATCACTGTGGGATAATAATCACAGTCCCAGCCACAAAATAATTTTCATCCACGTGGTAGTATATAAGCCGAATGCTTTGTCGAGGAAAGTGTTGTTTTATCTGAGCTTCGCTCACAGAAGAGTCAAGATTGCACTGCAGTACCACCGAGAGGGTTATCGCTCGATATATAAGCGGTTGCGCTTACAACTTTTCGAGTGTTTTGTATAAAAGCGGCCAAAAAGATTGATTGCTTGGCAGTATGTCCCGTAACATGGCTGTAATCGCCGTGTTCGGGCTTGTTGGTGGTAAGTTGAATTTGTATCGAGCCATTTAAAAACAGATTAAAATTATACATTTACCGAGGGTCATTTATGAAAATTCTGGTTCACCGTATTTTTGTATCAAAAACGTAAGTTTAAGTAAAATTTTTACCTTCAAACAACAATAACTAATATCGAGTATTTCTTTAAAAATCACTTATTTGATATTAACAATACAATTACATGATATAATTCATTTCTTAGGTGTTAATTGTTGTCTAATTTTTTATTTCTTTAATAATATATTTAATAATTTTTAATACGATTTTTAAAAAATGTTGGGATCTAAGATAAATTTCATATTTGTAAAAATAATACTGGGTAAGTATTACTTGCTTAAAAAATGATTACACAATTAACGTCTCGTATATTTAATTAATTTCACATATTTATAAAATGATAAAAAGAGTAAGTCAAATGTTAACATATTTTCACGATCCGCTGGTACTTTTTTCAGTTATCATATCGTACTTGACCATTGAAGCCAATTGTTATCCGTATTTAAATAATTCTACGCGGACACTCATAAAGAATCAAGGTACTGAAAAATGTTCGCCTCTTTATTTTTTCATTATAAATAATCGAATGAAAAATTTTAGTCTCAGATTCGGCTTACATTTACAAATACTCAACGGTAGTATTAGTTGGTCAAAATGAACCGAAAGAATTTGCGTCAAAATTGTACCTGCAAGGAAAACTCGTCATTAAACCTCAGGCAAATCACGATTCAAAAACAGACTGGTACATCAAATTTCAAGACGTAGAACATACTATACATAATGGCCTAAACAATAATGGTATTGATGAGAGCGAGTATAGAATACTAGAAAATCATCTTAAAGAATTCGAAACCCCTTTTTTATTGATAATTAATTCAGATGTAAGCATTGAAATTTTTCTGAAACTATACATTATCTTTGCAGCAATAAAATTGTACGTAAAATATCCCTTTCATTTTTCCAGACGAGTGGATTTAAAATTCAACAACACGAATCATTATGGTCCAGGAACATGAAAAAAGCCATATTATCGTTGATGAATTTCGATGTCGATTTAACAAATTTGAATACTAGGAAATTACAGGTAGGTAACGACTGACGGGAACGAATAGATTGTTAATTTTATTTAATGTTCTCTTTGGTTGTTACCACTAGAATACCATTTACGGGGATTGCGAAATCAACTACAGTTTTAAGGAAGTGACGAGCACTAAGATGTTCTTAAGGGCGGTTTATGAACCAAGAAAATGCAGTAAATACGTTCAACATGTCACCAGCGATGAGAGAAGTACTAGTTGCCACGTAAAAAAAGAGGTAACAATTAATAAAGTTTAGCAAAAAATGAATTACAATAAATTTATTTGTTTTCAGGAAGATTTGATGACATCTGTAGAAAATCTTTATGAATTGAATATTAATTTGAACGAAATACCTAATTTACCCTTATTACTGAAAAAAATCACTTCCCATGAAAAAGCGGCTTATCTGCCGTGGTTACACCGAAGTTCAGGAGTTCAATACGTTGATATCAAGTGTGTGTCGCTATAACATAATTCCGATTGAACTTAGGAAATCGCAATTATTTTTATCATTATTGTTATTATTTCAGACAAACGGTTGAATTTGAAATGTTAGCTAATGCATCAGAAGTAAACTTACCCCAGATAGATTTCGAAAAAGTACCAATTATGTCAGATTTGTCATTTGAAAGTACTGAAAATTTGGATTTCATGCTGATAAGTAAAAATTTAACACAATCAGATTTTGTTCAAAAAGTTCAAGATTATTTGTCAATGATGGCAAATTACTTAAAGAATAATCATTTTGAAGTGAACAACTATCCGCATAAAAATTTACTGAAAAAATTGACACAGACGATGCGATACTTGAACACTGAATCAATCGAAGCGATTTTTCAAGACGTACAAAAAAAAGTCGAAAAGTTTGTATTTAACTAATAATTACATTCGTTAATCATTCGTGAGATTAAAAATTATATTTTTTAGGGATGCTTTGTATGAAAAAATTAGGGAAATATTTGTGAAATTAATACCGCACATTGGTACTGAAGCTAGTTGGGATTTCACATATAAATTGACCAACAATTTAATAAATGCACCTACAATAGACGAAGTAACAAAGTTGGACATGATTTCTAAGCTACCAATGTACGTAATCAACCCAACAGAGGAATTCGCTAAAAAAATGATTCGCTTCAGATTAACAAAGACAGGAGTGTTGTGTTATTCAATTTTACTCAATAAAGTTTATAAAAATGTCAAACAGTCCTCAGTTCCAACATTTTTAAAGGAACAACTTGATTTCTTCAACTCAGCAGTTTCAAGTACGTTAAATTTAGTTTAAAAAACATTTTTAATAGCTTGAAACCCAAATAAGTAATTAGAATTTATTTTGTAGGTGAAATAACGTATCAAGCAAAAATATTGTATATAATGGCTATGAGAAATGTAGAGGTTGGCAATATTTACAATTACCTAGCTCCAATGGTGCGTGGAAATTATGAATTTGAAATAAACGTCGACATTCCAAAAACTGATAAATTTCGAATAGCGGCAATGTGGGCTGTCGCTAAATCTATCAGTAATGACAGAGATTTGACCTATAAATTGTTCTGGCCAATTTTGTCAAACTCTTCCGAATCATTGTCGATGCGAATTACAGCTTATGAGCAATTAGTGTCCAAAAATCCAATTTTGGACATTAACTTACTTATGAGCGTACATTGGTTGATGGACAAAGAGCGAGATGAACATATGTTCAATTATCACTATACATCGTTGAAAAATATGGCTGAATGGAAAGATCCTTGCAAATTTGATGTGTCTGAGCTCGCGAGAAAAGTTTTCCGTTTAATGAAGCCACGTAAGTCAATGAGTAAATCCTTGTCTGGTGTCAATATTCTAGATTATTACGATGATAAATATGGATATGGAATGTCTTTAAAGTTTGGCGTGGAAATAGATGAGAATACCGGTACACCGGAAATGGGTTTCTTCGAAGTAATTGATTCTGTTGCGAGGAAATCGAAGATGAAATCAAGTGTTGGTATTTCGAATTCATATACGTACTTCATACGAAAGCTTTTCCAAGTCAAATAAACGTAAAATCTTTTTTATTTTTAGTATTATTGGAATGTTAACGGCATAAATCTATACACCGTTAACAAATTCTTCAAAAAAATGATGCAAATAGAGACATCTGAAGTTATACCCGAACAAAGTTTACTTGAGATAACAAACGAAGAAGTAAAAAATTTGATTCGTCAAACACAAGGTTACAAGCTTCTAGATAAAAATATGCACGTAGAACTATGGACAATGAAAAAGGGATATGTAACGCAAGTCGATGTCTTTTTTGACAGTTCATTGACAGGTTTGGTACAGCGTTTATACGATGATTACAAAACAACCAATTTGATGGATATTGGGGATAAATTAGGGTTCAACCGGTTATACGACATAGACTATTTGAACAATTATAGAATGGTGGTACCTACATCAGCTGGTTTACCAGCGATTTTTTATAACGAAGCAGCTCAGTTGTTCAACATCAAATTGAAACCAGATTTACAGCTATATAAAACGGTTGTAACCGTCAAATTAGAGTTCGAGGCTCGATACTTTTATCATAGTTCATATGAAATGAAAGTCTACAATCCTTTTGCTGAAGTAACGCATTCCGTAGAAAGATGTGCCAGTACAGATATAGTTCTGCCATTAGACATGACCGTGGGATTTAACTTGGAAACTAGGAATTTAAAAATAGTTCTGCCTCGAATGCCTTTGACTAAATTATCAACGACCGGTTTGAAAATCCATGCGTCTGACATGGTTACAATCGGCGAGGATTACAAGAATGTCCTGAAAACGTACTGCTCAGCTTGCAAACATAACATACCCGTCAAATTAACACCTGAGAATGTACAAAATCATGTTAGCGCGTATCATTCATTGGATACTGGTTTAGAATACGCATTTGTAGTTTTTGATTGTGATTATAATCGAAAGCATATGCTGCAAGAGGAGTTGAGTAGAGTTCTGAATACACCATTAAATGATGCGTAAGTATAAATTTAATCATACGCCCTCACACGCAGCTTTGACTGATTTAAATATTTCAGTAATGATGATTTGTGGCCAAAATTTGCTTTGATGATGCAGCATGCTCTGTTTAATAACATAAACGTACTTTACACCACTACTTGTGGCATCATTCTTAAGGCGTCACCTTCTAATAAGTATCCAACCGCTACGGTATGTACACATCATTACATATTACATTATACACAAGCAAATATTCTAATTTTTTTTGAGTTGTAATAATAGGTTGAATTTAATTGGAGATTAAATGCAGAACAGCTTGCAGATGATAATGTCCACGTAGTAATACGAGGAACAGTTGAAACAAAAGCCGTAGATACTAATATTACCACGCGTTTCTGGAACGTAGATACAGAGTTGGAGATCACTCAATTTCATAGTAATTACAAACTTAGCTTGACTCCAGGACACGATGATTTTAAAGTATTTTAATCTTAATGCAGATATCTGTTTATTAGCATGATAACATTGTATTAACTGATCATTTTTACAATAGGTTTGCTTTGAAGCTCATAAAGAATATCCTAATTTCGTTGAAACCCTAAAGCATGAAACATTAACTAAACTATTTTTGACATTGGGACAGTCAAAATCAAATGATTGTGTTGACGGGGAAACATTAATCAAAGTCACAGCTCGTGGTGAACTTCTAGATGATCAAATAAAACAAATTAAGGAAAACATAAAGCCAAATTCATGTTTTAGCAATACTGGAAATCCCCTTGATTTGAATATTAATGAACGATTTGACTGGAACTGCTTATATGAAGCAGTCAAATTGACAACAATGAGGAAGTATACTTATGACATACAGTATCAAAAGGTTAGAATAGTTATTAAGGATCGTGTGTTTAAAAAATACTTATTTTTATTTATTTTTAGATTCCCTCTTGGATTCAAATGAAACTATTAGTCCTTGATGATTTTTTGCGTTTTGAAGCTTATCCTCATATACATTACAATATTAACCATACAGAACCAGGTCACATGAAAGCATTGGTCACATATTCCGACGATTATCTAATGAAAATCTCATTGACGAATCCATCTTATACTCTGGAGCTATACGATTTAGAGTACGGCCCAGAAAATGGTGCCGATAATAATTTGATCTTAGATAATACTGCGTTCAGCAATAATTTTTTAATGGATTTTTACAAAGGAGATATAAGTAAATATTGATATAATAATGAAAAAAAGTTTATTCACGTTCACTGAAAAAATGGTGTGATTTTTTAGGACCGTGCATTGCTCATGCTGATGATGTCATTACAGATTTGAATCAAACGATTCCTATAGATTTTAAAGAATGGACATTGATGTCAGGGGATTATGGTCTCATGACTTATGCTATATTTGTCAAAGCAGTAAGTACCGATAAGGTAGCAGTGAAAATTTTCGCTGGCATGTACGTCTTAGAAGTTCAGCCAACGGCATCTAAACCAATCGTTACAATAAATGGTGTGATAGTTGACGACTATGAAAAAAGTGTACTATCGCCAAATATTAATAAAAAATACTTCAAGTAAGTGAATGCATTTTGAATAAAACGCTTTTTAAAATTTTATATCATATTTCATGATGTATTTTTTACTTTAAATCAAATACTATAATACGTAACATTAATTTCCATTTTCAGGATTTCAATGTTCAATCAGTTACTTGTCATAGAAACAGAAAAATATTCACAAGTTAAAGTTTATTATACTCCAAATAATGTTATTGTACTTCCTCATTTAACATCAGTAAAAACAATTGATGGTATTTGTGGACACATGGGCAGCAGAACATTTACACAAGATATCCCATTAATTTATAAGAGTTCAAGTTAAATTTAAATAAACTGAATCATTTTTGTTGAAAAAATTATTCAAGGAGATAGATTATGAACGAATAAAATTGAGTTTTTCTAAAAATTGATCGAGTGTTTAATTTTTCATTCATTCTGCCAGGGATCCTCAGAATTGTAAGCACTTTTGGTATGTTGTAGTACATGATGAATAGCCCAAAAGCCAAGGTTCAAGAATCTGACATCGCTCGTGAGCACCGCAAATCATATACGTTTAAAATATAAACTGTAACATATCAAATTAATCACTCGGCATTTTGCAACAGACGTTCGTGCTAGTTCTAAAAATTACGAGCTGAAGATGAAAAATGTTTTTTTTATTTCATTTTTCAAAAAATTCTGTTGTTTATTTTTTTGTTTGTTTCTGAGTCTAATATTTTTAAATTTGCACGTGTTAAGTTTTAATGTAATAACAGAAACATTATTGAATTGTATATTAGTATTTACTTAATATTTATATCCAGAAAATAAAATACGACCTTTTTTCCGTTTCGCTTCTTTTGCAAGGCTTGATTAATTTTGTATGAGAATTTGTGTGATTCGCAAATAAATTGTGTATTTTTTTATTCGTTATTACACTTCGGTAGTGAATGAATTTTAAAATTTTGAAATGAAATTGTTCAAGACACTTCATAAAAATCTTCGCCTTACTGTTATCTAGGCATCCATATAGCATTTTAGAAAAAAATTTCATTGAAATTTCCAAGTATATTAAAAATTATTAATTTTTCTGTAATTAACCTAATGTAGATAAAATGCAAAAAATTTGGCATCTTAGTATTAAATTTTTCTGCATTCTTCAATAACTATACAATTTAAGATTTGGGTAGTTTTAATGTTAATAGAAAAATCATCTAGATTTTAAAAAGTATTAAGAATAACCTGTAATAATTTTAATAATTTTAATATTTTCATTAACTTTTTTTTGTTTGCTCTAACTGACTTTTCATTGAACCCGTTATTGTTGATTTAATCTTGAGAATGAACGAGGAAGCTTTGTTCTTCTTCCGGTGACGTAACTTGATACCATTCAAGTCTACGATGTTGCAGATTGCCGTCAGTAGTGTAATACCCTTCGGAGGTTGCTATTTAGTGCCCATAAATTGTAGGATGCATTTTAAATTACAATTTAAGTATAGTAAGATAGATTTCAGAATTATTATTTAAAAAGTATTAATTATTTAAAAAAATTAAATATATTTATGTATACTTTTAGTATTAATCTCCTTTTTATCAGTAGTATGCATTAAAGAAAGTAAGTTTGATCAAAAACTCTATTGCATTTAATATAAAAATAAAAATAGCTTTTAAAACATTTAAAAATTTCACTTAGCTTCATCATTAAAAGGTCATTATGAAAATACACATGTTTATGAATACTCGGCTGAAATAAGTACAGAGATTCAGAATTCAATTACTTTTACATCTAAATTTTTAATCAAAGGATTAATAAATATTAAACGAAAATTAAATGAAACAACGACATTGAAAAATGTCTACCTCATAGCTCTAACGAATTTAACACATGATTCATATTATGGACGTGATTATTTTAGAATCAATAAATTTCAATTGATACCTGAGGATACTAAAGAGTTAGAATTACCTTTTTTAGCAATTTATGATGAAAATGGGAAAGTATGTAGATGAAAAGCTTTACTTATGATAACTTGAGTTATATTCTATATTTTTTTCATAGTTTAATTCCATACAAAGTCGTCACAGTGAAAAATATGAACCAAAATGGTCCATTGATGTTAAAACATCGATTGCAATGCTATTCCAATTTGACTGGCCAAAAACTCTGTTATCAAGTAACAATAAAAACAGTGATAAAGTTTTTGTCTCTGAGGTATGACAGAAATATACTAACAATAACAATAACAATAACAATAACAATATTTCAATATATTTATCTATAGTACACCAATCAAGGAGACTGTCAAGTTGTATATAATGGTACCATGACACTGAAAGAAGAAAAAATATCTTTAGTAAAATCTTACAAACCAGAAGAATGCAAAAATTTCGTAAATACTTATGCCGGCTATTATCCTGAACGTAAAGATGCAGAAGAATATATAAAAGTAAGGACTATGGATTATTGTGTTACAGTCATTTTCAAAAACATTAATCACGCCGTTTCTTTTAAATTTCAATTAAGGGCCAAATAAATTCACAATTTGAAAGTATTTATGAATTAGAAATGATTAAAGATGAACCTTTTGTTAAAACGATTTTTTGTTATGAAAGTTATCAGTGGAACTCACATAATAAAAATGGCGGAAACATAGATATTACGAAAACTTTAATCAGGTACAAAGTAAATAACTTTAAATATTTTAGTATTACGTATTGATTTTTTATTAAATATCTCTACAGACAAACAGTATCTTTTAAAGAAATTAGTATGTCGGACAATATTTACAAATACAATACTTGGAATAAAAAAATTGATGATAAAACTCACGATAAAAAGGAAATTGATGAAGTAAAAGGTTTGTTACTAAAATCCACAAAAAGTTTTCAAGAAAATATATTGAAAAAAATTAAGCCTGAACGAAAACAACTATTAAACAATATTCACTCGGTATTGACTAATTTTAACTTTACTGATTTAAAAAATATTTATAGAGAAATACATGAAATGAAAGCAACAGAGAAAAATTTTATCAAGTTTGTACTATAATTTTATAGTTGAAACTGTTCTGTCATTCGTAATATAATACATTATGTTTCAATTATTTCTCAGGTTTATTTTTGAACAGATGATTCCTTACCTAGGTTCAAATTCGGGTGTTCTATTTATAAAAGAATTAGTTATTAATAAACAAGTATCAGATAAAGATGCTATAACGCTATTAAAAACAATGCCTTTATATTTACATTCAGTTTCGATTGAAACAATGACTAATTTATCTTCATTAATTAATTTGGATAATCAGCTGTCATTACAAGTTTATAAAAGTGCGGTTTTAAGTTATTCATATTTGATGACCAAATTGAGTTGGAAGGAGAGATTACAAAATGAGATTTTTGTAAGCCAATATATTCATAAACTCGGTCTTTGGATCAAGGGTGAAAAATAATTTTTATCCTTTTTTAGTTATGAAATAAAAAACCATAATACATTCAGTCCTTTTTTTTTGTAGATACTCAAAGTGCTTCTATGAAAGTCCTTTATATTTCGGCTCTGGCAAATACTCACCATTCCGGAATCGTCGAAATTCTCTTACCTTTCATAAATCGAGAAATAAATAACGAGCGTGTACGTTTAGCAGCAATCAATTCCTTAAGATATGTTATAAACAATACCAATATTGAAATATTTCATACATTTATGGAGATGCTCAGAGACGAAACAGAATCTTGGAAAATAAGATTTGCCGCCTATGATATTCTCATGGAAAATCATCAATGCCTTAATAAAGATGATTTAACACAAATAACACATATTATGATGCAAAGCGATAATATGAAGAATTATCATGTCTCAACCCTTCATACTTTCTTAAAATTAGAAATTGACACATTTGATGCTTTCAATTCTTCTAAAGCTAACATAAGATTTTATGATTTCCCAAAAGTTGACGTTGTGAATCTCAGTCCCATATATGATCGAATTGTCAAAATGTTTCTACCAGTAGGAAGTAATTCAAATTTATTGAAAATAAGATTTGTCAATACTCAAAATTTCGTCGATTTAGGCACAGTTGAAATCATTACTAAATATGAAAAAAAAATTATTCGAAAGCAAGGAGTAAGTTTTACATTAAAAAATCTTTTGTTATTAAAGATTTACGCATATATTTTTTATTTTCATTAATTTGAAATATTTTATTAATTTATAAAATTTATATATTCCGAATTTTCTAGGTGAGTTGGAACTTTGGATGTCCACCTTCTCTATATGACGACATTATTGGTGGAATTTCTTCCATTGATTCCTTATATAAGAAAATGAGTGGCATGTACATGGACGTATGGATCAATTCTCCTGATTGGATCAATACAGTATTGTCAGTAGATATAGATGAAAATGAGCAGAACAATATTAAATTTTTTTCTCTGGTGAAACTTTTTGAAGATGGTTCAATAAAATTTGGATTTGAAGATTATACTAAATTTTCAATACTTTCCTCTTTTGGCTTGCCAATAACTTTTGAGAGGAAATTCCCGTATATTCTTCATTCTAAATTTAATTTCGATTCCGCTATGGTTATTAATAAAATCAATTTCAATTTTGAAGGATCAAATAGATTACTTAAAGATGGATATTTAGGTACATTTATATTAAATCCAATAACGAAACTTTCTCATTGGATGAAAAAGATTGTATCACAAAATCATGTTGATACACTGATGTTCAATGCAAGCTTCAATTTATTTACAAATAAATTGAAAATAATTATTCCAAATAGAAATGTAACTAGTGGGTATACGCATTTCATATCATCAAACGTATCAATCATAGATGACAATAAACTAAATAATAGTTCATGTACTACCTGTGGTTCTACATTAACCATTGATAGTGTAAAGGAACTTAGAAATCTAATAATTTCAGATAAATATGATATCGTAGGATTACAGTTCACAGGCGCTGTACACAATTGTGATACAAATGGATTTAAACGATTTTCTGGAAGGTTTGTAAAATATATTTAAATAATTATTCAATATTTACTAGTTGATACATGCAAATAGTGGGCCATTTTTAGACGAGATTTAATATGAAAATTGGTTTATTAATTTTGTCCCTTAATATTTCGCAATTACCGCTGTTTGTAGCCGAACCGTGACGATAAACAGTACCATTCGAATCCATTTCATCACCTTACAAGTAGTGTACACTTTAATATTGTAATATTTGTCATTTTTTGCATACTATTTTACAGTATTTATAAATTATTCGTGGAGCCCTTGAATAGCTTGGGTATAAGTTCATGCGAAAAAATCGTGATCTTTGGATCGGACCTTAATGCTTCTATTTCTCAGGTCAGTTTGTTAAATTTTCAAAATATATTTACGCATAATTTCAACATTATTATAAAATCACAGTAGATACTTGAAGTGTAGCGTTCTCGTAAGATAAAAATTAAATTCATGTTCTGCATTTTTAGTTAGAGATTAATTTAGATTTCAAGATGGAAACTCTACAATATCAAAAAAAGCCATGGTATTTTTTAACAGGGAAAAATATAGATTTGAAATTAACTGGCCAAGCCCGAAAAACATTAGATAATCGACTAAACCATTTTTTTGAGTTTTTCTTCAGTCTGTCAGGCGAAGATTATCCATCATTTAGTAATAATTTAAAAATGTCAGAAAGATTGTCGGGAAAAGAAAGTACGAATGTAAGCATATGCTAACTTCTTAGTAAAATTTTATTGAAATTTTGTTATCGAAAGATTTTAAATTATAGATTTGTGTTGATGTGATTTATAATGCAGCTAATATAAGTGATACAACTATTCCGGATGACAAAACTGCATTAAGGCAAGATTATTGGGTGAATATTAGAAAAGGTACCTCTCTGAATGAAAGTTGCACAGAAAACACATTCAACATGAATATTAAGGTTATTGCTGATCGATCTAAGAAATTAAAGCATGAAATAACTAATAAAACTCGTAATAGCGAGTGTACGAAACAAAAAGAAAATGTACTATTTACATATCCAAACAATTCATTACCTCTCACATGGGAGTGCTTAGAAGAATTGACTATTAATACCACCATGAATAAGTATCAAATAGAAATCTTGAATTCAATAGAAAATAATTGGGTAAAATTAAATGCACATTTAGCATTTACTTGAGTAAAATAAATTAAAAATGTAATTGTATATATTTTTAGTTTTTCTCGCTCAATGAATTGATAAAATCAACTCTCAAAGATGTTTGGAAAGTTGAAGTGAAAAATTTACCATTAGCTCATACAAATTCAACTACACACATTTTATGTGAAGTGAATTTTGATATTTCGGAAGAGTTGCCAAAAGAAATGTACCAGCAACTATTACCCCTCGTAAATGGGTACTTTACGAGAAGTTTCGTAGCAAATTTAATACAAGAAAGAATTCGTAAGTATTTAGGGCTCGAAGGTAATTTCTCATGTACGGTTATTACTTAATATAATAGCTGTAAGAAAATCAAAAAAATGTTTTTTGCAGACTGGCATTTTTGTTTTTTCAGTATTTTATTGAATATTTATTAACAAACAGAGTACTAAATAAGCAATAATTCCAGTTAAAAAAATCTTTTTTGACTTCGTACAGCTACTATGTTGAATAAAAATATTATATAAGAATCAATTATGTGGTCCTGAGGACGTAGATTCTCGGACATCGAAAATCAACAATCGACCAATTGCCTCTTCGATTGCACACTACATCCCTCGGAACTGTAGTCACTGATTACAATTCAAGTGCAATCAAAGAATCGGCTAATCGATTGTTGATTTCGATGTCTGAGAATCTACGTCCACGGGGCACCTTTGAACCCTTAAATGATTTTACTAGATTGATCAATGAAAAGTATGAAAATTACTAGAGTTATGATTGCAGATATAATAAATGTTTTTCCAACTATTATTAAGACCAATAAAAATGAAGAAGTTCAAGTTGATTTAAATCATTGGAAAATAGTCGACTATAGTGATAATAAAGATAATGCGTATAAAATTTCTGTTAAATTGGAAGAAAATGACAAAATAGTCGTTGAAATTCAACATGAAGGATTTGAAATAGCAATTAAACCTCGAAAAATAAGGTTTGTAGTGTTTGATTCAAAGTTAAAGGAATATGATAGTTTATTGAGACTTATTGTTGAAAACCTACAGCAACTCTACGGATGGTAGGTATGAACCCGAAATTTTGTTGGATGGAAATATTGTTAATGATTTTACGGACAGAATTTTCATCGACACTGAAACTTCTTTAGAAGAAGAAGAAAATTTAATAAGGTAATTTAATATTTCATCTTAGTAGTGAATCTATTAATTATTATTTATTTATTTTCAGTTTGATCAAATATGACCAATATATTTTGTTGAGACCTACAATGATAAAACTATCTATTTTTTACTCAACTGAAAGTGTGACAATAATGCATTCTCATTATGTATAAAGAATTGAAATATAAGACCATCTATTTATCAGATTTATAAGCAAAACACTAAACCAATGAATATCCTAAAGTTATATGAAACAAATTTATATTATTTATCATGCTGTAACATTTTGTGATCATTTCAATAATTTTATAAATAAAATTTTTCACTTTTATCAAAAATCAAACAATGATTGATATGAATTAACTGGAAAATATGTTGCATCATACGAAATTATTAAATTTACTTTTTTTATTTACATTGTTGACAATCAGCTACTGGAGTGGAAATTTTTTTTATAACTTTCGAAAAAAATGCTATGTAAGATGTAATGAGATTGTAGATTTTTCATCCTAATTAACTTTCAAACAAAAAATGTTTACCTTCAACAAAACTTCTTATAGTAATATAAAATTAATCATCACTCGACGATCAATTTGAAATATCTGCGAAACTAAAACGGACTAACATATCTCGCGTATTTGGTCATGAAAGCTTACATCATTTTCATCGATTGCTCAAATTAATTTTTATGAAAATTCCAATGCACTGAACTCAAGTAAAGATTACTGGACCATTTTTTTAATATGTGAATTGGTATAAACAAAAAAACATTTTTCAATTTCCAAAAAGTATTGCACTGTTGTAACTCGATAAAGAGAAAGTTCTTTGAATTTCTGAAAAATGAAAAATATTATGAATAAATCGGTACAAACTTTTTTCGAAATGTTGATACTGCCACAAATATTATTTGAGACAAATTAAAAAGTCTCGTTCGTATTTATTGAATTTTTACCAATTCAATCAATTTAAAAATTATTTTGTATAAATTTAATAAATTTTCTTTGCGATGCCATATCGCCTCCGTGGCGCAATTGGCTAGCGCGTTCGGCTGTTAACCGAAAGGTTGGTGGTTCGAGCCCACCCGGGGGCGTTTTTTTTTGTATCAATTATATTGTTTTATAACAAATCTCTTGAGAAAAATTTTACCCTAATTAAAAAAATAATTTTTTAGCGTTTCATTTTTATTTATTTTTATAACAGAAATCATGAACAGAAAACTTTGCTTAGGCACAAAATCCTCGTCGCCTATGTATAATAGTAATTAAATTATTTTTTGTGTGAAAAACAATATTAATTATTTTTTATAACTTTAGTGATAATTATAAAATTACCTATTTTATGTTACCAATAAAAAAATATTTTATAATAAATTATAATGTTAAAAAATGTTTTTGAAACTGAGCGCCACGTGTGAGCCCTCCATCTATTGGCATTTACGATCACTTGGTGCTGTTTGCGCACGCGATTGCATTTGCGGTGTCGGTATCACTGACGAATCGCGAAACACGTCTTCAAAAAAAAAACGAGTAAAGTGCTGAACTCTTAGAAACCGCGTGTTATGTAAGACCATTTTTCATTAAATTTAGAAAAACAATACATATTAATAATTGTTATATTTTTCTACGGTTATTGACTTTTTAAAATGGAATAGCACTAAATATTTCTTAAGTAATTAAAACATTTGCACTCGTCTTTCATCATTCACTGCAATCATACCGGTGATTTATACTTTCGTAATATTTGTAATTTAATGAAATGCGATTCATTCATAACTAGTATTGATTACTGCTTATTAGGAAACTTCATTTTTTGTATACCAGCGTTAGTGAAAGTTGTCTCGTTTGTGCACAAATGAATTTAGTGATTCTTCCTAGCTGCAAAACACGCGTTTTTTGAAGGTTAAATGTTGCGAGTGCAAGTATCTCTCAATTAGAAATTTAGACGTTTAGGAGCAATAAAATTTAACGACATTTTTTTCAATTATAACTAGTTTTTTATGATATTTCAGATAATAATTGGAGAAAATGGTATCAACTCATTTCTTCAACAGAATTGGTCAACTAGGCCTAGGACTGGCACTCGCTGGAGGTGTTGTCAATTCAGCACTTTACAATGGTTAGCACATGATCATACATTCATTTTTATCAAATTTTTTTATAATGACACATTAGTTCAAAATGATAATTTGAAAATCACCTGTATTTTCAGTTGATGGTGGGCACAGAGCTGTTATTTTTGATAGGTTTGTGGGAGTAAAAAATACAGTTACTGGAGAGGGTACGCATTTTTTCATTCCATGGATTCAAAAGCCCATTATATTTGATGTCCGATCCAGACCAAGAAATGTACCAGTTGTAACTGGAAGTAAAGACTTACAGAATGTTAACATTACATTACGTATATTGTTTAGACCTGTACCCGAATCATTACCAAAAATTTATACTATTCTTGGAGTTGATTATGATGAAAGAGTATTGCCTTCCATCACAACTGAAGTTTTAAAAGCTGTAGTTGCGCAATTTGATGCTGGTGAATTAATTACTCAGCGAGAACTTGTATCTCAAAAAGTCAGCGAAGACTTGGTTGAGAGAGCTTCTCAGTTTGGTGTTATTCTAGATGACATTTCTATTGTAAGTAAATCATTTTTTAAAAGTTTTCTTGAGAAAGAAAATGCAAAAACTAATCTTGCTTTGTATTGGACACTTTTAGACTCATCTAACATTTGGAAAAGAGTTCACCCAAGCTGTTGAATTGAAACAAGTTGCACAACAAGAGGCAGAAAAAGCAAGATTTTTAGTAGAAAAAGCTGAGCAGCAGAAAAAAGCAGCTGTTATCAGTGCTGAGGGAGATGCACAAGCTGCCACTTTATTGGCAAAATCTCTTGGTGAATCTGGCGATGGTCTGGTTGAATTAAGAAGAATTGAAGCAGCAGAAGACATTGCCTTCCAATTGGGAAGATCACGCCAAGTTGTCTATCTGCCTTCTGGTCAAAATACTTTGCTCAGTTTGCCACAGTAAAGAAGAAATTGTGTAAACAATAGTGTAAAAACATGAGCATTTTGTAATTTAATTAAGATATTTTATTCATGGTTATTGACTTTCAGTACGACACAGAGAAATAGTCTAGAGTTTCAATAAACATAATTCTACAGTATAGATGCTTAATAACAAAAATTCATTCTTGTAGTACACTTGTTTTTGTATAAATGTACAATTGATTTATAAACCTTCAGTTATTTATTATTTTCTTCATTTCATTTGAATATGGATAAAATAAATGTTTTGATCACTTTTTACATTTGTATGAACTTTATTTTTTATATTCTGCAAAACTTTAAGTACAAACCATCTGTTAATTAAGAAAAGTAAAAATATTTTGTTCATTGACATGTGTAGAAGTTCAACTTTTAAATCAATGAATTATCAAAAATGTTTTCACAAATGTAAAGCGTGTTTGTAATTATTAATTTACCTTATTTTGATTAAATCTATTATAATTATATTATGTACTATAAAATTTGTTTACGAAAAAACCATTTTTCAATAAATTAGAACCATTGTCTTTTGATGGGGTTGCGATTTGGACATATTAATCTATTTATTGCGTGAAATTGTTTCACTTGTCAATGAAAAGATACGATAAAACAAGTATGAAATTCAATTTATGGACCAGAGAATTTAATTATTTGGAATTTCGGCCATACGAGACAATATCAATTTAATTACTCCACTCTCTGCATAATAATAATGATTTCAGATGTTATTGCATACAATTTTGAAAAAAATATGATGACGAAAATTAGAAAAAATCGAAAACTTATGATGAGCGTAGTGCATTTTAGGAGTTGATTTGAAGAAAGAAGTTTGAAAGAGAAAAAGTAACAGGTGTGTCTCGAGAATAATTTTTTTCTTTTGCTCTTTTTTAAACATTAATATATCTTGCAAGTAGCAGAAAAGTATTGCAGTAGTTAAATGTGTCTGAAAGGGGTTGGGCGAACGAGACCACGATTCAAGGTCGTCATATGTCGCTCGTCATCACGCAAGCTCCGAGCTCACTTGCCACGATTGTATGTGCATTATGTTTTTTAGTCTCTGATATAAGTTGTGCAAATTAAAACAACCACACTTTTTATAATTTGCAAAACTACATCTGTGGTTTCGAGAAATAATATTTTTTTTCTAATGTAAAGTAATACAACGAAAATATTTTGAAATGTGATATCTGTTAATGCAGATTTGCATGTAAAGTATTTTATTTAAAAATAAGTAAGATATTTTTGATAAATCTAAAAAAGCCACAAATGATATATAATGGGAAATTTTAATCGTATAAGATTGTTATTAATTTTATTTTCATTGCTTAAAATGTTCACAAAGAAGTTTCTAATAATAATACTACCAGTAACTTCATATGCTATCTTGAAAAATGCATAAGGTAGAGAAAAAGAGCACAATTAGAAATACTTGTAACCACCGGAGGCAATCGGCACCTGTTACCTATACTTTTTGGATCCCTTGTATCACGCGATAATGCAGACCAAACCACACGTTTAAAAAAAAATTTAGCCTACGGCCAACAACGGTTTTTTTAATGCTAATTGTGCATGAATTAGACGTTATACGATCGAAAGGAAACAGAAGGATGACGACTATTAGTAGAAACGTTTTGTTTTTTAAGGAACTGGTGAGTTCGTCTTTTATCTCTTTTTAGTGTGATGTTCAATCGATTTTAAAACAAAAAATCCTAATATTTGTTTTTGAACGTGTTAATTGTGTAGCGAATTTGAGAACAACTCATAGATATTTAATACGTCTATTAGTTTAGTTTTGGATAACTTCATAATCACCTCATATTTTTCATAAAAAATTCTAAATTTATAAAACTGAAAATTTTATTACATGTTCTTCTGCGTGTACATTATAAAATAATTTCAATTACTCTCTATTTATTTTGCGTTTCTTAAGATTTATTTTCCAATAAGTATGTGAATGGATATTCTGGATGTTTTTCCACCCTGGAGAAATATTTAATCAAAACAAGAATTATTTTTTAGTTTATAGGATATTGATGAAATAGTGATAGTTAATCAATTCACCCCTTATCTATAAAATAATGGAAAATTCTTCCTGCATCGCCTCTGTCTAAGCCATTCATCATTTTCATTTCTTCTTCAGTCAATGAAAATTTAAATAAATCGAAATTCTCCCTTATTCTGTTTGGTTTTGTGCTTTTCGGTAGGACAATAATACCATTTTGGATGGCATGTCGTAAAAGTACTTGAGCAGTCGTACGATTGTGGAAGGTCGCGATCTTTTTTACAATTTCATTATGAAAAAGCTGCGGTAGAGTGAGAGAAGCATTTATTTTTTTGTCAATTGAAGAACCCGGTGAGCCTAGAGTACTGAAGGCCGTGATAGCAATATTACGTAGAGCAGTAAATTCTCGAAGAGGACGTTGCTGATTGTAAGCTTGGAGTTCGATCTGAAATAAAATACGAAAGAATAGTGTATTATGACAGTAGAAAGTTTGACTAGTGCAAAGTTAATTCATTTACCTGCAAGTTACTGGGCTTAATTTCTGCATTATAGTAAATTTTTGCAATTTGTGACTGGTTGAAATTACTCAAGCCAATAGATCGTGTTCGACCAGCTTTTACTTGTTTTTCCATCGCCTAAAATATTTTTAATTCGATTTTTATTACTAATTGTTTATTATTTAAATATAATGATTAACCTTCCATATGGCTACGTGGTCAGTTTTAAGATCCAACACAACGCTGCCATCTGAATTTTTAGCCGGCTCATATTTGTATTTATCTTTAACAAAGCCAAACGGCTTATGAATTAAGTACATATCCACGTACTCGAGACCCAATTTTTCCAATGAGAGTTTAAGGTAACTTTCGACAGCTGAGCTTCGCATCCCGTATGGTGGCAGCTAAATGATTAACGATCTTTCAGGTGAACTATTTCAAACAATTTTTTCCCTACTATATTAACGGTCACATTATTATATTTTTTATAAAATTAAACAGATAATTTTATACTTAAAATTTGGGTACCTTTAGACATTTTTTCTGGGCTGAAAATTTGTATAGCATACTACCTTTGTCGTGATAAAAAGATCCTCGCGTTTGTTTCCTTTTTTAAACCATTTTTTTAAAGTTTTTCCAATTGCTTCTTCATTACCATAAGTGAACGCTGTATCTATATGCCTATAACCTGTTTCCAAAGCTGTTGTCACTGCCAAGTCGATGGCTTCTGGAGGCATCTTTAATTGTGGAAGATGGTAACATAAAAAAAATATTTAGCCAAATATAAACCCAATTAAATTTCTACCTGCCAAGTTCCCAAGCCAACGATTGGCATTTCATAACCTGATGCTAATTTGATAGTTTTTATCGCCTCGGCATTTTTAAAGACAACGATTGAAATTATAATGGTAGCAATGTTAATCATTCTGGATAACATTATAAAAATTAGCTTATAAAACGTTATAAGTTGTACTTTACAGATTACGAGTACTTGAAAAACTTCATACCTGAAAGTGGACGTTATAACTAGAACTATTTTACTCTCGATTCGTTTTACTAACTACAGAGTAACAACTTTTCGCGTATTATTCGACAATTTCTATACACTTCTGCTTTGCAAATTATTTCTCTCAACTCTCTTTATTAGAGGCTGATAGTTCCTATCAATGAGGACTCTACGCTCAAATGAAATGCATCAATCAACTAATAATGTTGTACACTGCACCAGAGAGATAAAATTGTGCTATCAATAAATATTTCATTACTATTTTTCCATGAAATGTACACGAAAAAGGTTAAATTATCTGTAAAAAAACATTTAATCATCGAGACAAAAAGTCGACTTAATTATTACTTAAACGCGTTTAGATGTGATTGAGCGTTGGGCGATAGATGCTGTAGGTGGTATGCTCGAATAACATCAAAGAGTCAAGTTTTTTCTCGCGCGAAAAAATTCAAAGCGGTGCTGGTACATTTTTCGATTAAAAGCTTGAGTGAATAGACCGATGCGTAAGACCGGGGACAAAATAGTCATCGGGATATGCGAAATTATTGCACGAGTGGTATACTATTCATCCCATTTGGGAAGTTGATGGACAGCTTTTGAGCACGGCAGCAGAGTGCATATATAGCTAAGCGTATTGGGCCATTTTTTGCGAACAAAAATCTATAGCAAAGAGGTGCAATTCGTGAAAAAATCATAATATATTGACCTATACGGTTGAAGTGAATGAAAAAAAGTATATTCGAAATATCATATTTACAGAAGGCATTCTAAATGTTCAAAGTGCGCTTGACGATCTGCGGAATTTTATAAAAGAAGTAAAGTTTATATTCTGCTTATATAGACAATGCAGCGCAATAGCAGCGGTAGCGGCAGTAGCAGCTTTTCTCTGCAATGAATATCACGCGTGGACTACCTTAAAACGCGGCGTATAAAGCGGTCAAACAAATTCCCTACGTACGAGAACCCTTTGAAGCCCGCTTGAGAAGCTAATGCTGAAAACAATCACGGTTAAAATTGCAATTGCGCGAAGCTGCTGACCATAACATATATATATACAGATAGTAGACAGTATATACTTCTTTTGTAGCTGTATAATCGTCGTCGAATTATGGCTCCGTTCAATTTTCTGGCCTTTTAATTGAGTCCGAAATCCTCGACGCAGTTTCCTCTGTGTGTGCGCTCCACCGTGCAATGGAATAAACTCTATGTACATGTACGCAAACACAGACTTATCAAAGTGGAATTGATTATGGAACGATGGTACTTGTTAAAATTCGCAGCAACTGCTCATATATTCCATGTTGAATGAGTAAAAAGATGAATAACAATTCAAATTTGTAATATTTTGATTTATCATCTGGCGCGAGTAACTCGCTTAAAAGCCATCAAAGTACACATAAGCGTACAAAAACAATTTTCCATAGGAAAATCATCTGCTAACATAGCCAATTACGTTACACCCTGCTTTGCCTTCTATATAGTGGTCAAATCCTTTATTTTGTTTTCTCTTCGGGCCGATGCTTTGTCTTTATGAAGTCTGCTTATGCCGCCAAGTGTAGCGTCATACAAAAGCTCTTAACTTGTATTTTTCAACTTTTCGCTCCACTTTCACTCGACTTCAGATCTATCATGTATGCAGTAAAAAGATACGATTGCATTTGTTAAACAAAGTAAAATAAGTTGACATTAGGTAACTATGAATTACTCCGATATTCTGACTAATATTATTAATGATAATATAATAATTTAATTATTAAGCATATATAAAAACTTTTTAATTTCTCGAGATCAAAAAACGTTTAATTAGGAGTTAATTTCTATTCAATCTCAATAAATGAAACAAAAAAAAAGATGAAACGTATTTTGAACAAAATTTTATTTGAAAAGGTGTTAATGTGCACTTTTCGATGTAGTTTTCGGGTCGCAATCCTTCAATTACAAGCAACTATCTCTTCGTAGTTGCACAGACTTAATTATTTTATTTGGCATGAAATTTACGCTGCCCATTGGTAGAAAAAATTATCTTCAAAATTTCGAAAGTCCATCTTTAATATGAACACGACAATATAATGACAAACCTGCAGCAAAAAATGAGTCGTAATTTCTCGAAAACAAAACTAATATAACCTCCGAAACTGCTATGTATAGTTTATCATTATTTGCCCACCGAGCATTGACCAAAAACGAAGCGCAAATTTGAAATTTCAGAACACGCGATATTATGGACCAGACTGTGCGTGACCTCGGCCGTCATGCAATTAGAGAGAGTTCAAAATATCGATAAAGCATCTATGTAAATTTAAACAACTCAAACTGCGAAAGTTGTCCAACATAATTATGCCCGTTAGTTGATAGTATTTGCATATTGAACAACTTTTAAAAGTGTGAAAAAATTGAAGACCAGTGGCTTTTAAACTTCTGTTCAATCATTAGTCGAAAATTACTAACTCCGAAATAAAGTGTATAATTATACGTAATAGAAAGATTGTTATCATTCAAAAATCCATAATGTATTATTTTTGTCTTTAGGCTACATTGGTAATAATAATTCATTATTATAGGAGTCATAATTTTACTTTTGTTGAAAATTTTTATTTTTTACTATGGTCATAAAAATTGTTACACGATAAGAAATTTTTCAAAATTTTAAAAAATTTCCATTCACTTTTCTTAAAATTTTACATACAAGTGACAAAGCAAAATATCTCAAAATATAAGTGAAAGTGACTTAAACTCTACGAAGTATATTATTACATTATATGAATGAACCAAATTTATAAGCGACATCGGAAAGTTTACATTAGCATATGCTCGTAAACCCTCTTCATGAATTGCGTGAATAATAAATGAATTACATAATGGTATTTTTAAAAATAATACTAAAATTAGTGATGCACTTATATCGATAGTTGATCGATGAATATCGAATGAAATCCTCGCGTAGAATAAAAAAAATCCTATGGATAAGTTTTGATTTGGCCATGAGACAGTTCAAACCGGTGTATATAGTTGCGTGTAATCTAGATACAAAAACAGTTGCTTGCCCCTCGTGAACTTTCGCATCATCTTTGTCGCAGGGGGTAATCATGTTAAAGGTCGGTCTCGTGTTCCGCTCTTACAGAGTTACTGGCATGTGTGGTATGACAATTACTCTGTAACAAAAAGTTAAAAAAAAGAAAAAGATTAACGTGGGTATATTGTGCGCACTAACGTTATTTATGCACAATTCTTTTCTCTGGGTGGCCAGCTTGGGAGGAGTTGAGCTTATTACGATTATATACACACAAGAATACATTGCCGTAATACGTAATGCGCTGATTGCACCGAGTAGATATGTGACTTTTTAGAAGATATTTAAATTAAAGCTCTAAAGTTTATGCTCAAAAAACAATATGGATTTTATTTAGTAAATTTTTGAAATATTAAATTATTAATAAATGTATAATAGTTTTATTTAGTGTTATTAAAAAGTATTCAAATATTAGAAAACCACTGACTTCAAAATTTTAAATTAGACCCAATACGAAAAATTCGGAACGATGCATTGTGTTTAAATCGAATTCAATTTATCAAATAGAACTTTTCGTGACAGTGAAGAATTTTTCAATCAAAATATATTTAATTATACATTAATTTTTAATTATTGTTTTAAAGTGTTTGCAGTTCAATGCGTAAAAAGTAATCATTCTCATAAATAAGATAACATTATTCCTATAAGTATGAATAAAATGTAAAAAACACGTTACGTGTCTAAAATAGACATGAGATAATAATACCTTATAATTGTTGAGTTACAGACTGGATCAAATGTTTAATAATGAAATTAATTGTTTGTTTTATTATTATTTATTGGAGTTACAAGTAAGATAAAAAAAAAAAAAAATAAGGCAGCTCCTTTGAAATTAGTTTATTGTTTCTTCATTTACATTTTTTCAGAAAATGTCTGTGTATTTTAAAATTACATTTATCAAGATGTTTGGATTGAAAAAATTGTCGTTGGTATAAAATCGATTTTGGCTGTTTTTAGATATAGTGAGAGGTGTAAACGTGGTTATTAACTTTGTTATCATTAATCATTATGATTATCACATCTGCATGATAATGAAAAATGGCGAATGTAGTTATTTTTGGTTTAGTATATAATAAAAATATATTTTTACCTTTTATTTCTATCTACGACTAAATACAAATCGGCAATAACCTTGAATAAATACTGTTCCTGGTTTACAAAACCTTTGACCGTTCATTGTCGATTCTGGTTTAGGTGGTAGCGTATTTGAGGGTGGTAGCACCGGATTTCCATAGTTTGTCCGCATAAAAGACACATACGGAAGCTCAGATTTTGGTATATAATATGGAGGCGTAGTTTCCGGTACCTTGATTGAACGATCAATTATTCTTAATCCGTATAAGCTGTCATAAACTGCTAAATTGGGTTCAGCTTCGTGCACTAACTGTTCATCGTTATACGAAATTGAAGAAACATAACTCACTAAGTTTTTGTGTACGTATCGTATTGTAGCTTGATTTGTATTTTTTGTTAATGAGAAAATGACAATCACACATAGTGCAACTTTGAACAAAGAACACATTTTCAGAAAATTAAAAATTGTTCATCTCTGTTGATCCCAGTGTTCCCTCGCGAATACTGAGAGGCTTGGCTACATATGCCGGAGTTTTTATAGGCCACATAAAATTTGGAGAAATTGATCAAAAGTAAGTTGTAGGTGTTATTTCACAAGATATATTTTTCATGATTATATATCTGAATCTGCGAATTCAAAAAAATGCTCTAATTTTATTAAAAACTAAATTTAATTAAGATGTGATAATTCTTTTATTAACAAATAACAGTAAGAATAATTTTGATCTTAGAAAAATTAAATACTTACAATTCGATCAAATTGTCTACGTAGTTTTATATAATTTATATGTAATCTAGCCATCTCATCTGTATATACCATAACAACTAGATGGCCTCGGAAATGATCTAGGGTGGGAGATACCTAAAGATTTTTGAAACCGATCATACCGGTAAATT